GGTGGTCATTGTCTACGTTGCTTGGTGGTCATTGTCTATGGGCTAGTGAAAAAAGTGTATGTGCCAGATTCCATGTACTAGATGCAGAATCCCCTATCCGTTTTCCCAAGGGATGATCATGCTTCCTCGACCAGTCATGCAGTCATCTATTTACAGATGAAAAGAACAGACTGATAGGGATAGAACCAAAATAAATAAATAAATACACACTGTTTTCTTATTAGCAACAAAATACCATTATTGTATTCCCCAGCCTTTGGGGATACATATGATTTTAGCAATGGCCTGCAGCTGCCACTATCTCCACCGCTGCCGCAGACAGTTTGGTATGCGAGCCAATAACTCAAAAACCATTTGACATATTTGGTAAATCTTATTTCTTCTTCACAAAAACATTAAATCGATGAAGATCTACACCTTGTTTCATTTTCAGACATATTACCACAAAGATGAAGCAGCAGCACTGTGTGGCAGCAAAGGAAAGAAACAACAGCTGTAGAAGATCTTTGGTCTTGTGAACACAGTAAATCTAAAAGTATCGCACGGATCTTTTTAAAACTTTGCAGAGATACTGTAGGAATGACAAAGGTCAAATTTTGAGATAGATCACCCCAAAACTGAAGCAGTGCCGTATAGTGATAGCAAAAACAGAGTAGTGTCAGACATCCCGTTAGCACTATAACTCAAAAAGTATTTCATAGATCTTTTACAAACTTTGCAGACATCTTGTCCGGTTCTGGACTTCATCAAATTGTAGTGATGAAGATCTGGACCTCTTCAAATTTACTCTACCAACCCAATTTGATCATTTATGGATCTTATTACCATTTCATAAAAAATATTATATGGATGAAATTCTACACCTAAAAATGAACACTGATCAGATCCAAAATTGTAACTGCAATGACAGAGCGCAGTCGAGAGCAAAAGCAAAGCCTACAACCACCATCTTGTAAGCACAGATCTTCCATGGACCTTTTTAACTCAGATATTCTGTAGGTCTTTGCACAGTTGAATCATTTTTAAACTGTGCGGAGATGATTTTCTGAATATTCTATAACAGAGTTTATGTTCATTGTTGGTCACCAGCCTCCCAACTCAGCAAATTCTACCAGTAGAAGTGCAGTAGCTGACTGGTGAAATATATCGTCAGGGAGAATCATGTAACTTTTTTGGAGATGTGGGGGGATTGTGTAAGGTAGGCTTATAATAATAGTTTCTTTGGACTGCGGTGTTTTCATTCGGTAATATTTGTCATGCTGAGTGCTCCAAGGTCACCAGATAAATTGCACCACCTTACACTTGATATGTCTGTATGTCTTAAAAGGAGACCAATTAACCACGTATAAGCATTCAAAGCATGAGTTATTTCTAAATGAGAGCCCCCCCCCACACACACACAGACACACAAAATAGTATTCCAGATATGCGTTGTCATATTTCATGTTTTAGCTGTTGCAGTGCCATTTCACTTAAGTATATACAAAGTATATTAACATTACTCAAGATTAAAGTGACACTTGCCTTGTCAACTGGGCTAGAAGGAAAGACAGAGGCTGTGTCTAAATTCAGGGGCTGCACCCTTAGCTGCATTTGAAAACTGAATGCATCACCGTGACGCAACAAACCTGCCCCATTTTTAAATTTTCAAATGCGGTCTTTAAATGCGTCCTTTTTTTGCCAAGTTGTACAGGATCCATCCTACCAAGGTTACACCTTCATAAAATACGTATACATGTTTTTTAAAATCTTATTTTTATTAATATATTGGTCATCTCCAAGTCTTATTAATGTATATGAATTGCTTCATGTCTAATTAAAATAAAAAATAATCATGTAAGCAGGTATTAAATATAAACTAACAGTTTGCTTCCCAAAGCCCCTCTTGTCCATGAGCATAAAACATGTATAACCTACCATCAGTATATCTGTAACAGTTCTTTCATGTCACAGAAATATTTTCTTATGGTGCACCAGAGAAATAAATAAAATATAAATATTTAAACATACAAAAATATAAATAATATAAATGAGAGTTTCAAAGTTTGGCATTAAAACATACACTAAGGAATACAAGTAACCACCTAATATCACAATAAGGACTGACTTCAGGTAAAAACACATTTATTAACTTTTAGATTTCCAAGTGATCCATCCAGTACTTCTAGAAATTGTACAAGTTGGAGAGTGTGGGATGAGTACGGCTTAGGCCCTGTTTATACTTAGTTTTAAAATGCCTCTTGGACGATCAGATCACAAGTGAACAGCTCTAAATACAAGTGTAAATGACCACAAAGACACATTGTGATCCAATCACTCAAACCACTTGCCGAGGTGGTTTTGGGTGCATTTGACCAGATGTGTTTTGTAGGGTAAATGCTAATGCATCCTGCTGTGACCCCAACAAGGACGTCACAATAAGGAATAATGACAATAGCAAAATCTGAACCCAAGTGGTCAGCTGGATACCTGTGTCTTGGCTGTCTACTTGTGATCAGATTGTCCAAGATTCAATTTAAAACCAAGTGTAAACAGGGCCTTAGATAGCTGGGGAAAATGACAGGGCTATTCAAGGAATACAATGCTGTCATTTCCGACAGCATCAAATTGTTAGTAATACTCAGTAATTACCCACAAGAAAGAAATTATGTGAACTGTAATATATTCAATTCAGCTCACTCACACAAAAAATAATAGCTGAGATTCATACAAGATACCTGGCAGAAGGGTCAGAGTGGTGAACAAGAGTGAGCTCCAGAGAACATTTTCAATTTCCTAAATTCGGATTTTCATCATTCAAAGTACAGCTATGGCAAAAAGTTGCAAATGAATCACCTTGTAATTATGACTTGGTCTTCTAAATCGCAATCCTAAACACAGTCACAAATAGTCAGTTTCTTGCAACTATACAGGGCATATTGCTCACAATTCCATCCTAATTGGAGTAACTAATCATGCTTGCCCATTTTGTTATATAAAAATCATAGACAACGTTTTATACATGATGGCTTAGACTGTAACTCCAAAGCTCTTCACTCATCATACTGCACTTGACTTTAAATGTGTACTTTGCGAATTTCAGAAAATTTTGAATTGACATGGAAGTACTTTTCGTTGCCATTGTTCTCTGATACAATGCACAGGATATCTCTTAATGAAAGCAAAACACACACTTTCCTACACTTGAAGGAAAAATATTTCAGGAATCCATTTATCTTATAAACACTTATCTTGGTCAGGGTTACAGGAATGGCCTGCAGCCCATTTCAGGTACCACCAAGCCAAAGGCAAGGGAATACCCTGCAAATCAGTGTTTCCCAATCTGCTCCTCAAGGACCCACAGACAGTCCACATTTTTTCTGCCCAGTAAGGAGCTGGGAGGGAGCAAAAATGTGGACCGTCTGTCAGAGAACTCAGAGGGAGCAAAAATATGGATCGGCTGTGGGCCCCCGAGGGCCAGATTGAGAAACACTCCCCTAAATGGGCTACTGGTTTATGGCAGGATACACGGTCAATTAACATTTACAGGCAGTTTTCAAGATTTCTAACTGCATGTCATTTTTGTTTATATTTCTGAAAATATAGCCTTTATTTTACAATGCATTTGTCAGTCATAAATGGCAGAGCCATAAGGAAATGCAAAAGCAGACAAGAAAAGCCGGCTATTCGTTTTGGTGATCAATTTTTAAAACTGGCTACTGCTTATTTACATGGACCGTGTTTATGGAGGCAAAGGGGTGGAAAATTTCTGGAAAAATTCCAGAAACTTTCTATTCCATGGGAAGTTAACTTGGGGAATTTTGGTTATATTCCAAGTTGGAAACTATCCAGGGGATTTAGCAGGAATATATTGGAATTAGCGGGAAAATTCCCAAAATTTTGCAGGCCTAATCAGGTTACACATGGTGGCAAAACAGTAAAAATGGTGAGAGAAAAAAAGATTTTGTTTACAGCCAGTGGACAGATGAAGACATTTTGCATAATCACAACTTCTGCACTGTACCAAAGAAGGAAGCATACCCTGTCTTCTCACAACTAACTTTCATTAGTAACATAGCCAATTTTAAAGGGTGTAACATCACCCCCTTAATTATAATGAAAACATGGAATAATAAAACAACGAAGCTAAAATGTCCATTTTAAAACATTATAGCATTTCAAATTTAAGAGTTTTCAGCACTGCGTCTAAAGAAGTATCAAAATACCTTACAGTATGTGTCCTAAACCCAAAGTATAAAGTTCTGTATGTGTAAACTGGAATGGGGGTTATTAGTGTTTCTCCTTTTGTAAATTACTGCAGTTCGCTTAACCAGACAGACATACAACGTTAAAAGCTGAATATTTTACATTCCCTTGGTAAAAAGTTATCCTAATTATCGTAAGTTATGTTGTGTGCGTAGTTGTGTGCGTGTGAGTGTACGTGTGACTGTGTGAGTGCATGTGTGCGCCCTGCGGTGTGTTGGCGACAGCCCAGGGTTAGTTCCTGCCTGCGCTCCGGTCCCCCCCGCGACCCCGGTTGGGATTAAGCGGTTACGGTGATGGATGGATGCTTTCAATTTGATGACCACCCAACCCGTCGTTGTTGTTTAAAGTAGCTATACACTGCCATCTTGTGTAGGAAATGAAGAAGCCAGGTGTGCAATCCACGCTGTCAATGTGAGTTTGGAAATCCAAGGAATGCTGTAATACATGGACATTAACCAACGGAACATGCGTAGTGAGACGCACCACCCAGCTAACAGATCATTGGTCTGTTCTTAATAAACAAATGCCCAGAGATGTTAATAGCCAACACCATGTTTCATTTTTTAAATCAAAATCATTCAGATGAAAAAAAAAAACTGCAGATCAGTACACTCGTTTACATGTAATGGTAATGTCCTTGTTTTATTAAATGTTCTAAGTAATACTACACCTTTGTAGTAATGCAAAACTAAGCTAAATGTTCTTGAAAGATACAATGCATTACGTTATATACGAGCAGAATAATATTCGTGTTGGGTGGCGTCTTAGTACAAAAAGTTATTTGATTTATTTTGGATCTATTGTAATTGTATAACAGAGGGAAGAAGCTCATACACCAGCATTAAGCCGCCTATATGCTGCTACGTCACTGCTCTAACGCTAAAGCGGTGCGCTTGAGAGCCGGAGCGTGCTGGTCATGCGCGTCCTGCTGATTTCGCGTCAGGAGTCACGTGACAGGGACCAATAGCAGAGCCCGCTGTTGTACGTAGCTTGAGAGAAAACACGAGGCTTAAGTGCAGATGTGTTACAGTAGTGGCTTGATGGTGAATAAAATAAATACCCGAGATTGAACCTTTCGAAAAATAATAGAGTAACAGTTTATCGTTATTATTATAAAAGTGTTGTTAGAATAAGTATTATCTCAACTACTCAAAATAAGTGTTAAATTTGGCATTGGTGTTCTTCAGTTGAAACGCGTGCGATTCAATGCTGGCGATTCAAAAATTATGAGTTATTTTTTCACTTGCTCAAGCTACGAATTCTCGCCTTGTGTTCCCGGAATAGGCAGTGCAGAAACAGCCATTACTGGTAACCAAGCTGCAGCGAATGACTCATGCAGTAATTGGATGGAGGTCTTTCGGAGGTAATACAAAGTTGCAATTTCAGCGCCCAACAGCAATTTTGCATTTTACTGATAAGAAATTAGTGTATTTTTCCCATAGCGTATCTTTTAATGCGCTGCCAATACACTTTTAGCATGATGAAATATCATTTCATCACAGCAGTCTTAATGAATTATAAACAACGAAATTAATTATTATAAAATAAAAATATTATATAGTCAATATATATATGCCCCCTGATTTTCTATTATTATTTTTCTAACGGCAGTGTTTGTTGATGGAATATTAATGTAATTAGCTTATTATAAATTCCGTTTAACATTTATAGTAATACATTATGACTATATACACTACTAATAGTAGCAATGCTGCTGCATTGCTGCGCTGTTGGCTGCGTATCGCACGTACTGCGTGCTGTTGATGTTGCTGTGTGACTATCCATGCCTCGGCGTATAATAATAAAGACGTCATCCGCTGCTCCGCTACGGGCGAGCCAAGTGCGCAGCTCCTAACTGCAGGACAACAACAATCTCAGCATGTTCGCCCACAACGCGGGGACCGTCGCATCTTCCCTTTCGCCCGGCGGAGCATCACGCTGCCAGATGCTGCGTTTTGCCTTTAGCTAAGAGAGCTTATAGTTGTTTGTAGGACACAAATAAGTAGTCGGACCGGGCTCCCTTGGAGCGTGTAGAGAGAGAGAGAGTGCTACTCCAGATAACAGGTAGGGCACACATTTCTGCCAGAATTATTTCCGTTTTTCGGGCTATTTATTTATTTATTTATTTATTTGTCTATTACATCAGAAACACCAACATAAACACTGTGTTTTGGATTGAAGCAGTGGATCTTATGTGATGACATAAATTAAGTTTGCTGTTAATGACGCGTTATTACACAAATACAGATGTGTCTGAGGTTTAGATGGGAATGACACGAGTCGCTTGTAGTATCGCAGTAGTGTGGCGAGTTCTCCAGCTTTCTAGAAAGCCTGCGTTGCGTAAGGGCTCGGCTTTGCCATGATAATGTTTTTGTAACTACAGATGAAGGTGCGGGCCGTTTTAATCGCATCGCCGCAGCCGTCGGCACCACCGCTTGCGGACGAGCGCGTTGCGTTCCTTGAAATGAAAACGCATCATATAATAAGCAAAAGTGTGCAACACGCTTTATTGCGCCGTTTTCATGTTGCTCTTTAAACAGACACGCCCACTTGCACTGTGCAGTCTATGCTTGGAGCATGTGTTTTTCCAACCATGGAAGGAGTATGTTACTCTGATCGTTCTTTCATAACGACACATTTGTTTTGTGTGTAGTTACTCGTGAAATTCGTCATGAGATGCATCTCTGGCAATAAATTATGATGAAATTCATGTATCAGCAAACATATTTAACTAGGATTTTCTCTCTCGCAAGGTTTTTTTTAATTTTAAATGAATGCTGTAGGTCTGAGCTCTGCGCAGGCAGAGGACTGCAGGCGACGGGCGTACAGCGCAGCGTACGAGAAATATGTGAATGGCAAAGTTTCAGTCATGCGTTTTCTTATTACTTAGGACACTGCGCTCATGTTCCAGTCAAGAAAAAAAGCGGAGCGTATTTTTAGATCAGCATCTGCAGTTTCGTGCTTGAGCGGCAGTCCTAATTAAATTTAGTACTAAAATCAACCAGTATGAGGGTTATTTTAAAATAAACTGGCACTCGTATTTAAAGTATTATGATGCAGTTTTTATGATGTTATTGTGCAATAATGTCTCCGAGAGTTATATACAATACTTATATCCATATACACCTGTTTATGCTATGGCAGGAGAAAAAAATGGTCTCTATACGTATTTTCCACCTTTCTACCGCTAGTTTCCACCCTTTGTACCCATATTTTCTGTGTGTTTTCTGTAAAGCTGTGCCTAAATGGACTTTTTTTTTTTTAAATATAATGTTTAAATGTAGGACATATGTAACTTTGTTGAATTATCCAACTCTGGGGTGTTTGCAGTTCATAATATATGTTTTATGTTGGTGAACTGAGGCCAGGGAGATGCTTGCAAGATCTTTGTGTTAAGTATGTTAACTAATGAATTATCTTTGGGGCATTTACGTATTGTTTAGCTGGAGCATAACGCTGGTTGATTTGTTTTCATCTGTGTTTGTGTGAATGTGTCTGTGTGGTTTTTGAGCATAAATGTGAATTCTACTCTGCACCAGGGTGTACAAATGGAGGAGAGTCCAGGTCCAGGTCCCCCTCCAGGCAAACCTCCTCACAGCTTGATGGAGTGGAGGAAGAGGGTCAAGTCAGAGTACATGCGGCTCCGGCAACTGAAACGCTTCCGCAAAGCAGAGGAGGTCAAGGTGCCGCAGGCCATTTGTCACCACTGTCTGTCTGTCTGTTTGCCTGCTTGTCTGCCAGCCAGCCTGTCTGTCTGTTTGCCTGTCTGTCAGCCAGCCAGCCTGTCTGTCTGTCAGCCAGCCAGCCTGTCTGTCTGTTTGCCTGTCTGTCAGCCAGCCAGCCTGTCTGTCTGTTTGCCTGTCTGTCAGCCAGCCTGTCTGTCTGTCTGTTTGCCTGTCTGTCTGTATGCCTGCCTGTCTGTCTGCCTCTTAATCCAGCTGCCTATTTTTAGTAGATTTTAATACAGTTAACTGTTCATCCATCCATCCATCCATCCATCTTCCAGTTGCCTGTCCAGCACAGGATCGCAGGAAGACTGGCACATGAGGATTGGGACTCCCTGGATGGGGTGTTAGCCCATCGTTGAGGGCACAGGTGCAAATTGTAGGCAGGTTAGAAGTCGGCCAATCATGTGTATTTGGACTGCGGAAGGAAACTGGAGGAAACATGGGGAGAACAAGCAAACTAAATTGTACACACATAACCCGAGAGCAGGATTGGAGTACCCAACCATGGAGGTGTGAAGCAACTCTGCCGCAAGGACATACAGATAGAATCATGTGAAACAGGCACTGGTTTGCTGAATACAGCGTGATCTGTTGTCTTATAAACTACAACAATGAAAATAGATTTGTCCATGTGTACTTAGTAGATACAAATATACTGTATACACGACTGTTGTGAGTGGCTGTAAGTTACAACTTTATAACTTCTATTAGCTGACTGCTTTTAAAACACCTGTGACATTCAGTCATGTTCTTCAGTTTTAACTGAGTTACTCTGTTTGCTTGAAGTTAACCACCTGCCATATGCTCTGTCCAGCTACACCCCTCAGATCGGTCTGCAGCCACCGAGAAGCATCATACACAGAAGAGGCCACTTTTCAGTTGTTGACAGCCTTTCATCTAAACACGTGTTCTCATTCAATTACAAGATGGAATTAAAAAAAAATAATTAAACCGTATCACATGAACTACTTTTAATCTGTCTAATTTAATGGGACGTGGCTCATGAACATCTAAACAGGATGAATTTTAGTTTTTCTAAGCACTTACCCTGGTCTGGGTCACCTGAGGTGTGTCCCAGGCAGTGCAGGGCACGATACTGGGGTATACTTTGGATGAGATACCAGTCAGTAATGGCACATACACACTGGTTGTCATACTTTGCAGGCAGTTCAGAGATGTTGATTAGCCTAACTGCATGTCTTTGGACTGCGGGATGAAGCATCATGACATGAGGAGACAAGTTCCACACGCAAAGCGGAGGTTGGATTCAAAAGCCCAGCATCACCCTGTGATGACTGGAGGCTGGCAGGAAATTCAGTGGCCTGGGAAAATACAGAAAGGCATTGTTACGCAAGGGTGACAAGATGAATCCAGAAAGTAAAGCGGACCTACTGTGGGAAGAATTTAGTATGGGTTTGAAATTTCTGTATGCTCAGGTATTTAACAGAGGATTTTGTACTCTGCGCGAGTATAGTTAAAATACTGTCTGGATAGGCTTTTTGAAAGTATTAGTTATACAAAGACCATAATATAGGTTAAAAAGACATGGCAACACATTTAATCTCAGTGGATTTTTCCACCAGTCGCATTTTTCCACCAGCTGAAAACTGCTTGCAAGGTCATTATTTTTTTGTGGATGTGTGTGTGGTCCTGTAAGATATTCACCATTCTGAAGGCCAATCCTTTCTTTCTTTAGTCTCTTTTCATGTGCAATCGCAGGAAGATCAAGGAGAGAACCAGCCTTCTAAACGACGAGTGGCTGAAGCTCAGAATTCAGCCAGTCCCACTGGCTTCTTCAGTAGGATCTATGCCTAACAACAAGGTAGATACAGAATTTGCAAAAGCATAATTATTTTGAGTTGTGGGGGGTGGTTTTGATTTTCTAAGGCTGCAGATCAGAATACATTATTGGTTAACAAATATGGTTAGTTTAACTTATTGTTCTGTTCTATGATTCTCTTGTTATATTTTTTCTATTGTTGCCCTTCCAGCTTTTGCAGTACTCTGGCTACTCACTTCATCTTGGTTGTCCAGCCTTCTGTGTGCGACACCTTTTCAAATGGCACGTGTTCTCATGGGAGTATTAGCCCAAAATATTCTCCTTTTTTTAGGAAGGAACAGAGCAGGGCTTGAGTTAGAGATAAGAAAATCAGATTTCTAAAACGTGTTCTCCAGTCATTTGGAGACTCGACTGTCCTACAAATTTAAAAAGCTTTATGCAGCCTCAGATACTGTTATCAACACAACTTTTGCACATTCAACATACTACCAAATTAACCCTTTCATTTCTGTACAAATGTATCGTACAGCTCCATTTTTTTTTCTTTTTAATCTGTCTGCATGCATCGCCAGCGATGTGGTAAAGAAGCTAGCAGGCTTGATGTTTTGAAGGTATACTGTGAATAAGACTGGTGTCTGTGGCTAGACATACAGTAATAGTTGTGGTATCAAACATTAGGTCCTTTCCCTGTATTTTTCCTTCTACTGTCTAATTGCAGTACTGCGTTGTGGACTCTGCTTTCCCGACATTTAAGAAGCAAGCCGTGATAATGAGGACCCTGAATACAGTAGCAGGAATCCCTTTCATGTATTCATGGTCACCTTTGCAACACAATTTCATGGTAATTCAAAATGGCTACCTTCCCTCCTCGGCTGTTGGCTGCTGTATGGCCAGTAATGAAAATACCCTTACTGCTATTTTTTTTGCAATGCATGGTAAATTCAACATTTTGTTTATTTAAAATGGTCATTGTTTTGATAATCTCGTACATGTCGAAGTTATTCAAAACCAAATAACTAGCTCAAAGGCAAAGTTATCAGCAAACTTCTGGGTTGAATCATTCAGGAGTTCAGCTGTTCAACAGCATGTTGCTTGCAGGTGGAGGATGAGACGTTTCTGCACAACATCCCGTACATGGGGGACGAGGTGCTGGAACAGGATGAGGCGTTCTTGGAGGAGCTCATTGATAACTATGATGGTGTGCATGGAGACCGAGGTGAGACTCTCTTGTTGATCGTTATCCTCCATTCATAGGAGTCCCATGGTAGGTGCTGTGACACACGCAGAGTGAGACGTACCTGCTGTTGTAAGTTGTACTGGACCATTCATATCAATATGTTTAATTACTGTCCAATGAAAAACAAGGATCTCCAAAGATCCATTATTTCAGGAGCATGAAAAACACATTTTCTCAGAAACTACTAAAATAAACTTAACACAATTTTTTACACGACCATCAGTGCATTCATGTTTTAAATGGACTTACGGTGTATGGACAAAAGTACTGGGTCACCTGGCCGTCACACCTACACAGTCTTTTATGACATCCCATTCTAAATCAATACGCATCAGTATGGAGTTGGTCCCCCCTTTGCAGCTATAACAGCTGCCACTCTTCAGTGAAGGCTTTCCACATGGTTTTGGAGTGTGTCTGTGGGAATTTTTGCATATTCATCCAGAAGAGCATTTGTGAGGTCAGGCACTGATGTTGGATGTGAAGGCTAGGCTCTCAACCTCTGTTCTAGTTCATCACATAAGTGTTGTATGCGGTTGAGGTCAGGGCTCTGTGTGAGCCAGTCAAGTTCACCAAACTCACCCAACCATGTCCTTATGGGCCTTGCTTTGTGCACTGGGACACTGGGGGAACAGAAAAGGTTCTTCCCCAAACTGTGCCTACAAAGTTGGAAGCATAGATGTGTCCAAAATGTCTTGATATTGTAAAGAGTGCTTTAAGAGGTCTCTTCACTGGAACTAAGGGACCGAGCCCAACCCCTGAAAAACAACCCCATACCATTATCCCTCCTCCACCTAACTCTACCTTTGCAGTCAGGCAGGTAACGTTCTCCTGGTATCTGTCAAACCCAGACTCATCCTTCAGACTGCCAGCCAGAATGATTCGTCACTCCACAGAACACTTTTACACTGCTCCAGAGTCCAGTGACAGCGTGTTTTAGACCACTCCATCCGATGCTTGGCATTGTGCTGGGTGATGTGAGGCTTGCATGCAGCTGCTCGGCCATGGAAGCCCATTCCATGAAGTTCCTGGCGCTCAGTTTTCATGCTGGGGTTAATGCCAGAGGAAGTTTGGAACTCTGCAGTTACTGAGCCAACAGAGCATTAGCAACTTTGATTTACTGTGTGCTTCAGCATTTGGTGTTCCCACTCCGTTACTTTACGTGGTCCGCCACTTTGTGGCCGAGTTTGTTATTCTTAAATACTTTCATTTTGCAATACTTCTACTTACAGTTGACTGCGGAATATCTAGCAGGTAGGAAATTTCACAAACTGAATTATTGCAAATGTGGCATCCTATGACAGGACCATGCTTGAACTCACTGAGCTCTTCAGAATGACCCATTCTTTCACAGATATTTTATACATAGATTTTATACATAGATTGCACATAGATTGTTGTCAGTGAAGTAAATATGTCAGTGTCAACAAAATATGAACTCACTTTATATTCACAATTAACAATAATGTTAATTAGCTGCCAGTCTAGCTATCGACATGACACAAACCATCATGAATACAATTGCTAACTAGTACAGACATATATAATAGTTATATATATTTTCATTGGTCAGTTAGACGTCAAAGGCTATCTGTAGACAGGAGAATGGGTGCATTCCATATATAATAAATAGTCACAATAGTCAGATAGTGGTCATGTTTGGTTTTTATTGGACCGTTTCACTGAGGCTGTGTAACAATGCATACATGTGTCTAGCATGTTTCACATAATATTATGTACATTAGGCTTGTCATAATGGACATATACTTTTATCATTTGAGAAAAGAGAAGTGCAGCAGAAAAAAATACTGAAATTGTGTCTGGAAAACTTCAATGGAAAATACTTGTGGCATGTAAATGAGGTGTTTAAGGTTGTTATGAAGATGACATGGTAGCTCAGTGTATAGCAGTGTTGCTTCACACTTCCTGGCCTGGGGGACCAATGGCCCATGATGCATGTCCTGTGATGGGCTAGCATCCCATCCAGGGTGCTTAGGTGTCCTCTTGCAGTCAAAAGTCGTGCACATAAGCTAAATGGTATATAAATTGCCTGAAGTTTGTGTGTGTTCTGGATGTACCTCTGAGTGCCTTGTGCTGCCTGGAATGAGTCTACCCTGTGACCCTGTCCAGAATATTTGATTAGAGTATGGATGGATTAATGTAATTGTGCGTATAGTTAACAGACCAATGACTGCCACTCTCAGTAATGATCGCTTTGCTGAGTGTTATTCCATTTACCCAACAGGCAGTACCATTTTCAGAAAACCAGTTCTGATAACAATGTGTGGTTACATTACTGTCTGATGAATGAATGATGAATGATGAATGAATGAATGAATGATGAATGAATGAATGATGAATGAATGAATGAATGAATGAATGAATATCTTTATTGCAATTGCACACACAAAGTTGTCACTGCACAAGTACAACTTAGCTGATGTGTCTGTGTCTCAAACTTGTTTGAGTGCTCAGTTGCATTGCTGGTGATTCCAGAAGGGGGCTTCATCAGTGATGAAATTTTCAAAGAGCTGGTTGAGGCACTGAGCCAGTACTCTGACCAAGAGGAAGATGGAGAGGTCGGAGAAGAGAAGGTGGAAGAGGAGGGGTCAGGAAAGAGTTTTGATGAGGGTGCAGAAGATGTCAAGGCGGGGCCACCACTTGTCATCAAGAGGAAGAGGAGGAGTGTCACAGAGGGTAAGGAGTCACTTAAAACTGAACCAGGATCTTATGGAAACTTCTGTAAACTAGTGCATTTAGCAGGCTGGTGACTTTTTGCATTGTATTGGGAGTCATAAGAGAAGCACAGCATTTATTTTGTAGATGGTTTGTCAAAAGCAGTGTACTGTACCTTTGAGAGTACAGGGTCGCCCAGTCCCTGGAACAATTTGGAGTTAAGAGCCTAGTTCAAGGGCCCAATGGTGAAGTCACTCTGCCAACCCTGGGATCTGAACCAGCAACCTACCAATCACAGACACAGAGTCCTAACCCACAGAGCCAACAACCCCTGTTCTGATGTGACTGTAACATATGGAAACATTCTTTTTTTTTTACTTTATCTCAAGCTAAACTTGATGTTTAGGATGAATTGGAATGAAAAGTAAATTCTTTAGTAGGACAGATTGCTAAAACTTTAACAATACGATGTTTTTTCATCAGGGCAAATCTCTGAAAAACATACTGAGCCTAAAGACCATAAAATATAATGTATGAAACACTTACTATTACTCTTAGGATGTTTTGTTCAAATAATATGAATAAAACCATTGTTGTAGATTTTTTTGGATGTTGGATTGTCTTACTGTACTCCCTATGTCCTCTTAACCAACCAATGAACCAGAGAAATAAAGGAAAGAGGAAGGAGGAAACCCAAAGATGCAGTTTTGGTTTGTTTTTGTCACTAACTAAAGAGGCTACAAACTTTACCTTGGGCACCATCCAAGATGCTGTGTGTGCACAGCAACAATGCATTTAATTGTATTAAGACCATAATGACGCCCATATGTTGGGTGTGCCGTGGATTAGGAGGGTGTACAATGCAAGAAAGATAATTAGAATGTAAAGCATATCAGGTGTAGTATGCTAAAAATACTTATATGATCATGCAGGTTTTGGGGCACTTTTTTTATTATGCAGCTGGGGCCAGATTGGCTGGAGTTCTGGGTTTGGTCAGTTAAGAGCTGCTGAGATGAAATGCTGGTGTGTCTTAGCTAGCAGCAGAAGGGTGACACTGTAAGGCCATGTCAGTATTCACTGTGTTGGCTGTTAAAGCTGAAAGACTTTTGGCCACAGACATCCACCACCATCAAATTACCAGAATGACAAAGTTTGATTCATGAATGACAGTTAATCTAGATCAAAGCACATCCATCCATTTTTATGTGATATTCAGAGCATTTCTCACAGAAATCACATAATTCTGTACCAAGCTTCAGAAGAGTTCTCAGAAAACATTATTATCCTAACAAAAATCTTTTGCCATTTAGCTAAAAATAAATACCTTTGGATTCTCAATGAATGCTCTTGGTTAGTTATTGTGAGAATAGTACAGTGAAAAATTATTTGATGTAGGCTTTGATCAGTCATGCTGCAGCTGCAAAGCCATGCATCGAGAATTTTATCAAAGTACAGAGTATTTTGAAGTGACATTATTCTGATTATAATATAGGTCTGACCAATCATGAATGTGCCCCAACCATTATGGAATATGCTCCTTATGTTAATGCTTGGGAAGTCCTGCTATCTTCCATATATAGCATTTCCCATGTCCCGTTTCAGCTAAAGATCTACTGACTGGTAAGAAGATCCCCCACGACGAAATATTCAACGCAATCGCCTCATTGTTTCCGTATAAGGGCACGACGGAGCAGCTGAAGGAAAAGTAAGGAAATGTATAAGTTACTCCATGTTTCCTGCATTTGAGAATAAAGGTTCGTGTAGAGGTTCACTCACTGCGTCTGATTGACCTGTCACTGCACGTGCTCCCCCTCCCCCATACCCTCTTCCAGGTATAAGGGCCTTCTGGAGCCTCCCAGCCAGGTCAAGCTCCCCCCCCAGTGCACCCTGAATATCGATGGACCCTTCGCCAAGTCTGTGCAGCGGGAGCAGTCGCTGCACTCCTTCCATACGCTGTTCTGCAGGCGCTGCTTCAAATATGACTGCTTCCTCCACCGTAATCTCACTTTTTGAGTTTGTCTCCCTCCACTGCCCCTTCTACCTTTTCTCCCCTCGTACTGCTTTGCCTCCCACTCTTGTTCTCTTTGTTAATCAGCAGTGGATGCCTCTGGCACACGGTGTCATGTGATTAGCGTGACCCTGTCCGGTTGGTCTACATTGATGGTTATGTTTGCGTGCAGCCTTTCACACCACTCCCAACGTGTACAAGAGGAAGAACAAGGAGATCCGGGTGGAGTCAGAGCCCTGCGGACTTGAATGCTTTCTGCTGCAGGTAGGGGGAACCTGTCAGTCACACCTGCATGTCTTTAATAATCTTAGGTTGCTTACATCCAGACATCTTCCATAATGAAGAGAGTGGTATGCTAGTCTGTCACAGAGCACACAGTCCCACGTCATGGGCAATTTCAAGACACCAGTCGCCTACTGTAACTGCATGTTTTTGAGCTATGGGAGGAAACCCACGCAAACACATGGGAATCATGCAAATCTCTGCATGCAAAGCCAGGGCTGGGAATTTGACTCCCGGCCCTGGAGGTAAAAGACTACAGACCTGCCCACTGAGCCTCCATGCAGTTTCATGCTGTTCCATGTGATATATGATGTTTTAAAACATCTTTCTTGCTAGTTCTTCTCACTACAGCTTTTTAGGCTAGACGCTACCTCAAGGGTACAGCAGCTAACACGCACTAGCTCACACACAAGCTCACTATCTAGCTGGGGCAAAAGAAAAGAAAAACAGTTTCTCTGGAATTAAGCAATGGCAGTACGGAACAGTCAGTGATAGTTTAAGTCAGTGAAGGGAAACAAGATTAATAAGTCAGCCTCTGCACTGCCCCCTTATAGCTGCCAGTCACACCACTTTGTTGCCTCTCTCAGGCCCTACTGGGCTGAGGGGGGGTTTAATGGGCACACTTGACCATTTGTTTGCACGGTAATCAGAGGAGGTGAAAAGTTCAGGTTCAGAAAGAACGAATCCAGACCAAAATTTTGTTTCAACCAACCAGATGCATATGAAGAGTCACAGTCAGAGTACTCAACTGGATGGTTGAAACAAAATCTTGGTCTGGATTTGTTCTTTCTGAACCTGAACTAACCTGAACTTTCCACCACTGGTAATCAGTGTGGACTAGGGTTAACCCTTTGCTGCACACCGAAAGCAGCATAACAGCACTGCAGTAAGCCCTAGAGGATATTGATTTTTTTAACACTGTAACCCTGCTTTTAAGTCTTGGTTATTATGTAATATTATTCCTTTCTTTCGGTGTATTCTGACAGCACCACCAGCATTACAGGAGAGAACAATTTGCGTTTATGCAGCTTTCACGTTCTCCCTCTTCTCCATCTCTCTGAAGAAAGGAGCGAGGGAGTTTGCGGATCAGAACATGCTGAAGTCGCAGCGGTCCCGGCGGCGCCGGAGGCAAGTCCGACTTCCCAACTCCGCTGGTCCCCGGCCTTCCATCTCCACCACGGAAGTTAAGGACGGAGACAGTGACCACGAGACCACCAGCTCCTCAGGTGAGCCGGAGGTCGGGGTTCTCGGAGCTGCCCGGCATTGGTAAGGCACTCATGGGAAACGGAAAGCTAGCCGTAAGTACATCTCATTGCTCAGAAAGCACATTCCATTACGTAAATCACATCGACGAGAGTCTGGCCTTTCCAAGCAAACGCACGACTGATTCGCGATTTCCCCACAAGCAGCCCGGGGTTATAAAAACATATATATGTTATAAAATATCATAGAAGATTCTTAGAGCACCCCACCTTCCAAAAAAACTGAAAACAGGATTTAAATAAGTAAATTTGCTGAGATTAAATCTACTTTAAGGGACGATAAGGAAAATATAAAGCAGTATTTGCAAAGGGCGAGTCAGACATGAAAACATCTGTGTCCTGTCGTTCTCCAAAGAACTTTTCCGTCACACTTTGATAACAGGAAAAATATCACCCCCACACCCCAAAATTTCAGTCACTATCGACAGATATGCTTGAAAAAGCAATGAGGGGAATCGGAGTATCAGGTTCTGCTGACAGTTGTTTTTTTTTCCCCCTTCAGAGAGAAAAATGGGGGGACCAGGAGTGAATGGGTGGGGGTTTGGCCTGTATCTGAAGTAGAATGTCGAAAAACAGATGGGGGGGGGGGGGGAAAAGCCGTTGTTGTTGCACAATCATGACGGAACAGACACTCTGGGAGCAAACCCCAAGTGGCGGGATACTGCCTCAGCCCCGGGCTTGGACTCGGTTCTGTAACGAAACCCAAAAGAGCCCCCTCCCCACGTCAACAGCAAAGGCCCAAGTTCAGTTTCTCCGCGTGAGAGTTTCGCTTGTTGTGCTGTCAACACCTCCCCCCCACCCAACCTCACCCACGTCAAACATCCTTACAAACTCAAACCCGAGGTCAAGCATAGTGATGCCACAGCCCCAGTCATGTTTCTCTGTTCTGGACTCTCGACACAAGGTTCCCTATCGCAGTGACTGATAACAGCATGGAGGACTGTACGCTCAGTATTTCCCCAGGCTCTCAGGTGACCTGCATCTCTCTTGCAGAGGGGAACTCCCGGTGCCAGACTCCCATCAAGATGAGGCACCCCGGGGAAGCGGGAGACGACGGGGAGGCTCCAGTCCAGTGGAGTGGTGCCGAGGAGTCCCTCTTCCGGGTTCTGCACGGCACCTACTCCAACAACTTCTGCTCCATCTCCCGGCTCATCGGCACGAAGACGTGTAAGCAGGTAGGCGCAGTGCGGCCGGGAACACCCGCGCAGCTCGTCCTCTGTCCTCTCACTGGATGCCACCTACAGTAGAGGAATCTGCTTTCAATCAGATGTACGAAATTGCACATCCTTGGTCCTGCCAATTGCTCGTGTAAATATATAGGTCAGGCTCCCCGGTCGCACTCAGCCGCAGCGCTTGTTCGCAGCCCTTTTGCGTGGGGGAAGTTCGTGCACATCGGCGTGTTTAGAGATTTCAATTTCTCAGTTTACTACTGGTGGAGACACAAAGCTGTTGTAAGCCATCTACTTGGCAGGGAAAAGAAATTACCCAATGGGCTGTCGGGGAAAAAAAAACACACAATGTTCCTGTACAGTGTCACTTAATACCCTGCTTACGTCTGTGCTCCCCTCTCGTCCTCCGCCTGCGGTTTCTGTGACTGGAAATGCAGAAACAAACTCCAGTGCAGCGTCCATTCCCTCCCCCGTTTAATGGGGCCTTGCCAGATCCTTAGTTGGCAGGCAGAGGTTAATGGGGTGGTAGCAGGGGGAGCGGTCGGAGGGGGGGCAGGGGGGCCCCATAATAGGCTGTAACGTGCAACTGTGTCTGTCTGCCTTCGAGTGACACCCTGTGGCAAAGGCCTGCAACTACACCTCCCATGTCCCTGGGTTCCCTGCAGATAAACCAGCTGCCCGCCTGCCACAGACCAGCGGATTATGTCACACAGGGCCAGCCGCTGCAGGACAGCTGGCACCACCGTGAAGTAGCCCATGAAAATTATTTTTATCAGGGATGCACATAACTGGTACAAAAGTACACATTTACATTGTAAAGCCATACGCGCAATTTCTTGTTGTAGCAGCATTTGCACTTACAACAAGAAATTAGTGTGCATTTTAGCCTTTATACTGCAAAAGTAGTACAAATTAGCCACATAAAACTTGAAATACATGGTAATTTCTTGTCTTAATGGCACAAATGCACATAAAGTAAATATGCATTTGTGCTGCTACCACAAGACCTTGCTGTGCGTGTCCTTTATACGGCGATTATGTACTTGTATAAAAGTTATGTGCATCTCTGATTATTATCATCATAACATTGAGAATCATTTTTTTTGGTAAAACCTTATTTGCATGTAAAATATCCTGCAATAAGGCTAATCTTTAGAAACAGATAACAGAATATCTCAAAATTACATGGGCAAGTAATTAAGAAGTAGTATTTGCTTAATATTAATATAGAGATGCTGTAGGTCATTTATCACACCCATCATTAGGAATAATTTGTGCTTCTGTCACATTAGTGTCTTTTATAGATTTATTTACTCCAAAAATGCCTGATATTTCAGTAAAAGCTGTAATACCCTCTACTAAATGATCAGTGTTCATTAAAATTTGACTAGGATAGTAATTGCATGTCAGTGTTCTGTTAACTAGTAGTACCTAGCACCGGTGCAGAGATTTCAGAGAGCTGATGTGCAGTGGATATACCCTCTCACCAATAGACCATTTTGAAAACTTCTGATGGATCAGAATCTGTCACTACAGCTCCAGTCACTGCAGTGATCAGAAGTCTCCATGCAGTGGGGAAATGTGCACGGTCACAGCCAAGCCAGTAGTTTCATTACCACAGCAAAGCCTCTTATTTTATAATAGTTCTACACCCCCATCCACCTGCCCCCTCCCCTGCAACCTTGGCACTAGAATTTCACTCTTTTCCTCAGAATAAATGTGACGCCTTTGGGCGTCAAGAAAAAAAAGTTTTACCTGACCATTGATGCACATTATGTTGCAAAGATGTTTAACTGGGGTGTGTGTTTGTCTTTGCATAGCATCGTAACTTAGGTGATAAACAAATCACTTTCTTCCAGGAACTGCTTTCACTCTATTGACAATAATGGCACATTTCATTTAGGATTTTGTCTTTATGCACAGAAAAGTGCCTTGTTGTTTCATCCTTGCTGGGTGTAATGTCAGTTTTCTTGTTCCAAGTTCTATTAAGAGTCAATGTCAAAGAACAGCAACAACTGCTTAATTTGTAGGCTATTATGTAATAATTAGTGCTGCAAACTGCTGTGCCTAGAAAAAGATAAATAACTTGCTTGCATTTTCTGAACCATTTAATTAGGATGTTGCACAAACTGATTGCTACCCATGCGCTTGGGCCACAGCAAGCCTTCATCTGCAGAAAAATGCAGCTTTGATATGCCGGACAGATCAGAAAGGAGCCTTATTCAGCTGGAACGTGCAAATCACATGACATCCAGCCAGCAAATGCCTATCCTTAAGGAAGCAGATGAAACAATGTCAGCTTCAGACGTCTACCCACCTCTGCTTAGTCACTCACAGTCACAAATAATGGGTTTTGCAGGGTAGCGGTTGGACTCCCAAGAGCCTGTCAGAAGTTACAAATAATCCATCACGCTGTTCTGCTTTGGTCTTCAGATTTGGCTCCTGCATTTTGTTGTAGCATTTAAGCAGTTGTTGTTGGCAGTAAGTTCACTGAACAGGTACATGTTGTCCATTGTGGGTCAGTTAACAGCAAGAAATAGACTCGTGCTGGACCAGCAGAGGCTCACCAGTCATCTGCCCCTGAGTAGCTTACAGTTCTGAGTGGGCAGGACTCTCTCAGTCAAGTGCTCCATATTTCGTTCCCAGGTGTATGACTTTGCTGTGAAGGAGGTTCTCATCCACCGAGTGCCCCTGGAGGAAGGGGCCGTTTCCCCTCAGAAGAAGAAAAGGAAGCACAGGCAAGCAGTTGAACGTTGGCGGGATGGAGTATCTGAGTTTAGCTAAAGTATCTTTGGGGAGTGTTTGTCCTGCACAATCGCTTGTGCTGTGACTTAGAATTGTATATGTTTCTTGATACAGTTGCTGGTTGACCTTCTATGTTTTTTGTAATTACAAAGGCCTAAAAATGCTTAATTAGTGGAGTAGAGTATAATGATATAAGCGTAATTCAGTAAATGTTTTGAATTTTTTAGGCTGTGGGCAAAGATTCAACTAAAAAAAGGTAAGTTGATAAAAAAAATTGCATACAGTAAATTCAAGTTATTTTTTGTGCCCATGGCCTCTGGGATGGGCTCCTTGGACATGGTCACGACGGCGCACATAGTCGCAGCGGCTCAAGCTTTCCCCTTTCAGTTTGCACTGAAGGGACTGCATCCAATTTCATCGTATTGTGTATGATGACAATAAAGATTAATTTTTTCATTTAAATGTAATTATTACGTTCCATACTAAGACCTGCATAATTCAGATGGGAGCCAGACCCAGTATTCAGGGAAACCTACGTTGCTTTAGACCTCTGTATTTGGAACGAGATTTCCTAGATGCTTTTGTGTAAAACAGAGATATACAATATTGAATACAAACATTGACCAAGATATGAACCATTGTTAGACCACTGTTGTTGTCATTACTGTAGAACTACATGAAATGTATCCACTTCCAGTGCATTTTTCCATATTATGTTCTAAAATTCTAAGCTTGTGATTAATTTAAGTTCTTATGTTCTTTAATTTGTTGTCTTGCTATATGCATTGTTCTGCCTTCAGATAATTCATCCAATCAGGTCTACAACTACCAGCCATGTGACCACCCTGATCACCCATGTGACAATTCCTGCCCCTGTGTGATGACTCAGAATTTTTGTGAGAAGTTCTGCCAGTGTGATCATGAGTGTAAGTCTCCTCACATCCCTTTACTGGTTACCATACAGTTTTCACCCATCACTTCCACCTGTGGGGGCACCAGTACATTTAATATTCTGCTCTGTACTGGCATACAGTTGTTGACCTTGTTCCTCGCTGTTTCTAGATGTGTCCTAACCTTTATTTTTAGCTCATTAATGACTTAATCATTTCAGTTGAAATCCGTCTTCAGTCCGACTACGCACCAAATTTGTTCTTCCACCTAGATGACAATAGAAGTATTTAAATAATTCTGTGGAGCAGAAAGGCTATGTAGAATGCCACAAAGAATCCTGGTTCAGTGTTACACATTTACAAGTATTTATTTATTTATTTAGCAAACACTTATTGTCCAAAGCAGCACACATGCAGAGGCAGACAGTATACAAGATGAGCAATGAGCCAGCATGGGTATAAAAGCTGGTTGGTGAAGTTTTCCTTGAGTTACCGTGAAGTACAAGACAATAATGTTAAGAAAATCCACTAAAAACAGCACTGAAGCTAATATCGTTTTCGTGGGTTTCTTCTCAGTACTTCTTGCAGGACTAGGAGGAACATCTAGACTCATACAGTAACCACCATGTTTTCTGTTTACTTACTTGTGTTATGTGTGTGTTACTTGCAAGAAAAGTTGTCCTGGCGCCACTCCATGGCCAGAATATGAACTTCACAAATAACTGCACAAATAAATGTCGCTTTTTAACAAGTTATTCAGGTACAGACTTTTCTTATTGGATTTTTTTAATACCTTGAATATTCTTATATGATATATGAACTGGTTATTCAGTACAAGAGAGTCACAGTGAACCTGTCATAGAGCTGGGATTCAAACCAACAACCATGACTCTGTGAGCCACGGTGCCAACTGTTATTCAAGTCAATGAAACATTTCATTCATTCCTATGCATGCTACAGGGGTCTGCAGTTCCTTTTGAACAGAATTACCCAATGTTGGTGTTGCTGAAAAAATCATGCTGGAAAGCCACAATTGTGTACATGTAAGAATGGTAACAGCTGTCAAAGCCAGTATGCAAAACAATTACGATTGCCCAAAATAGGCTGTGTATGTTTCTGTTATTACGAGTATTGGTCCTACAGCATTCCTGTAATGTTTAAGCCAAATTATCGAATACTTGTGGCTTATGCTTGCTGGCAATTTGTTTGTTTGCTGATGTCAAAATTTATATTTTAAGTATTGAAAACAATGGAATGCTCAAACATACCTAGATTGCATTACGATGACATCAGAACCAACATTTTAAAGCTTTTTTCAAAGGTTTTGTCTGCATTTTGCCAAGAAAATCTATACATCCAAGCCGATATGATTCTGTTACTGTATTTTAGAATTGCAAATTTAGCAGAAATCTAAAACTTATGATGGAATGGTTTTCATTTTGGTTTATGGATAACAAAGAAAAACATTGGGGCATTTTTAACCTGATGTAGTGGAATCAGGCCATGTGTGATTGACTGGCATCCCAGCAGGGCCTATGCCTGTCTTATGCCCTGTGATTGACTGGCATCCCAGCAGGGCCTATGCCTGTCTTATGCCCTGTGATTGACTGGCATAGGCTCCAGAACAACTCCAACTCTGACCACAATAAATGGTTGGACAATGGAGGCACTGTGTCCAGTTTGTTTTTTTAGGTGTGAAGCGTTATTGCTGTAGTACAGATAGGGCAGCAATATGTTAACAGACCTAAATCCTGAATCTGTTGTCATGACCATATGAATCAGGCTTTGTTTACCACCATTAGCTGCCAGCTCGCAGACAAAAACTTCACAGGAATTTCCATGTGCAGAACAAGCTTCTCAACAAATACATTAGCTTAATATTGTTGGCTTTTTAGGACTCGCTGTGTATTTACTCACTTGGCTATATTTACATGGTTATATTTGTTAATGTAGCGCCTGGTTGAAGATGGTCTCCTGTGCTCACACTTGTGGCCCAATCCAGGCCAGAACCGCTTCCCTGGGTGCCGCTGCAAGACGCAGTGCAACACCAAGCAGTGCCCCTGCTACCTGGCGGTGCGGGAATGCGACCCGGATCTGTGCTTGACCTGCGGCGCCTCGGACCACTGGGACAGCAAGACTGTGTCCTGCAAGAACTGCAGCATCCAGAGGGGTCTGAAGAAGGTATGGGGGGCCCACAGTGAGGGCCAGGCAGCAGTCAGTCAGTGGGCTGGGTGACGGAGTACGGATGTCAGTTCTCTATAGACACACCTATACTTCAGTTCAGGCAGCGCTTAAATAAGTAGAAATTGATGTTGACAATGATGCTGGCTATTCGTTGCCATAAAAGACTGAGATGCATCTGGATTCTTTTATGTTCTCATAAAAAAAATGTATCCTTTGCTCAATAAATCACAAGGGGGCATATCTTTGAAAGTTGTCTTCCATCCATATTATTGCCAATTGAGAGCGGACAGGTCAGTTCACACATGCTTTGATATGGGCAACATCCTTTGCTGTTCTGTTCACTGTTGACACAGAGATCCAATCGACTTCATGCGTTTGATATGTTCTGCCACCTTTCATGCAATTTCATGTAATTTTCTTTTTCATTTAGATTTTTGCATGTTTGCATATGGGTTATGCGATCTGCCTCTTTCCAGTCATAATAGCAATTTTACTGAAGTCACAAACACACAAAAATGTTTCAAGAAGAGCGAGAATTCTTTCAGCAAACAGTCAGTAGCAAATGCTGCACTGAGTAATGCTGAGTAGATTGAGGATGACCACCACAAGGTGGCAGCAGGGGTAATATACATGAATAACGCAACCTTTTCATAACAGTCTTTTTACTAGTGACCTAGAATAATTTGCATCTCAGTTATGTAAGTCACATATTACATCACCCAAGGTGTATTACATCAGATTTACTGAATGCAAATGGAAGCCTTTCGTAACAACCTACCCTTCAGCTGCCTGGCAATGCGGACAGGCTGGAATCTTTGCAGTCTCATTCCTAACCTCCTCTGTGCCCTCTCACCAGCACCTCCTGCTGGCTCCCTCGGACGTTGCAGGCTGGGGGACTTTCATCAAGGAGGCCGTGCAGAAAAACGAGTTCATCTCTGAATACTGCGGAGAGGCAAGTCCAGCACCTGACATACCATGCTTTCCTCCTAGCTTGGTCCTCACCTGGTCAGCAGATTGCAGTCTCTGCCCTCCTGTGTTATCCACTACCCTTCAACATCATTTTGCTGATATGGATAATGGTATCAAGAGCAATATTTCAGTTTCACCAGTGTTAAGGCCAGTTCATACTTTCGTTTTCCACATGCACTTTTGGTCCACGCACATGTGAGTGATATAAATTTCATCATCAGGGGTTCGCACTAAACAATACATGTGTAGCTCATATATTTTGTCCGGCAGAAATTGATTGTGGATGTGCAACGACATTGACTAGGTGTTTCCAGTAGGTGGCAGCACTGACTTTCACAGAGCAGAGCCAACCAAAATAGAGTAGAGGAATAATAGTTGTTGTAGTAGTTATGGTGAGCAAATGATGTATATTTATTTCTGAGATGCCCCCCGACAATAATTTATTTTTTTTCTCCTTACACATTATATGTACTCTTGTTTATATTGTTTGTTATGCTTACTGTTACTGCTTAAAAATTTTTAAAATTGTCTCAAGGATTTCAAAATACCGTGATATGCCATATCACCTTAATACTGCCCAAGCCTAAAATTTTTAAACCGTTTGTAAAAATTCAGGCTTTTTCAGACCTGTTTCACTACGCTGCTTGTATCTGTGTTTGTTGCAATGCTTCTGCCATCTCCTGGTCTGAGGGAATGTCACTGCTGTATGCATGCATGGTTCACGCCCATCTGCAGCCATGGACAGATGCAGTAAGAACACAAGCTTCCATGCATCCGCTGGCCAAAAGCACATGCAGAAACGTGAAGTATGATCTAGGCTTTATGCAGCCAAATATGTGCATAACATATACAGTATATGCTTGGTTTGTTTATGAAAATATCTGATGTGGAAGGATGCTGTGTTTCTGCCAGGGACAGCATGGCTCTGGCTTGCCCATATGCGGTGTGTGAGCTCTCTGGACCTGCCTGGAAACCCAACCTCACTTTATCTTCCTGCAGATCATTTCACAGGATGAGGCAGACCGGCGAGGCCGTATTTATGACAAATACATGTCCAGCTTCCTGTTCAACCTGAACAATGGTACTCATCCCACTGTACTATTCATTTACAATGAAGGAAATACAGTGTTCTCTGTTTATAACTTTAAAATGGTCTATAAATTCGGGACAGTTATTTCTCATATTGTCGAACCACATGATGGTGATGAGTATCCAGTTTTTTTTTTGTGCTTCAGATCATATGTTACTGCTTTCATTCTTTCTCTTCAGCCATTTGTAATGCAAGGAACTAAGTACAAATGTATTTAAAGCACTTGTGTTTTCAGTGCATGTTACCAACTTAAATGTATTGTCTGCCACTTTTTTTCTGATTTTGATTTTATTTCTGATCTGTTAAAATAATATAAAAATTGTTCTGCCCAATAGATTTTGTTGTTGATGCCACCAGGAAAGGAAATAAAATCCGCTTTGCCAATCACTCCGTGAACCCGAACTGCTATGCCAAAGGTACGGTAAGGGGCTGCTTGCCGGTATATATGAAGTAGTCAGGAATGGCACGCCCAGTTTTTTCCCGTGCTTTGGTGCTGATGTGGCAGCATGGCACTGTAATTGCAGTGGTGATGGTGAATGGAGACCACCGCATTGGCATTTTCGCCAAAAGGGCTATCCAGCAAGGAGAGGAACTTTTCTTTGACTACAGGTGAGAGGATTTTGTATTGAATTTGAGCCCTGCATTATAAAGCAGGGTTTCTCAACCTTTCCAACCACACGGACGGGCTCATTATTTATCATGTTGGCAGCCCGAGGGGGGAGCTTCCCCTTGGTAAATTTCACTAACCGCCGGGGGGCTGGGGAATATGGCAAAATACTCAGGACTAACAAGAAGGGCCATTTTTGCTAAAAAAATAAATAAATATTAAATCCCCTAAAATTGGAACATGGAAAAAGGTGACAAATTGTATGGACTGCAAACTGAAATCTAATTTTAATAAATAAATCATGCAAAAATAATCTTGTTTGTCGTAGGGTGTAACGCTAGAAAACGTAGACTGTGCAGTACTTACAGTTTCACTTCACAGAAGTTTTTGGCAATTTACTGCTAAAACTGTAAAAAGTAGCACCACACCACAGATGTCTGTTTACCTTGTTCAACCACATTGTCTCCTTTTTAAAAGGTTGTGTGGCTACTGAGCTGTCACCTTCACCTTCGACACTTCTTCTGAAGGAGAACGCATCTCTTCCACGATAATACCAAAACAGTAGCATGTGGCGTGCTCCGCTAAATTAAACAACCTTGCTATGTGTTTGTAGGTTGCTGGTTGTCTGTTCTTAAGACTACCATATGATCGGTTGGAATCACGTTTGTTTCTGTGATGTGATAGGCAGCTGTGTGCTATTAAGGAATGCTCCCTATTTTCAGTTTTTAGTTTTCAAATTTGATATCATGACAAGTTGATATCATTTATATCACCCAACCCTGTCCCCTTAGTAAATTTTGCCAACCAGGGGTGGTGATCTCTGCTATCGGGTTCCTGTCCATGCAGTGATCGGGTTCCTGTCCATGCAGTGATCTGGTTCCTGTCCATGCAGTGTCTAGTTACGGACTGAATCAGGTTTCCCTGCCACAGTTCAGCAGCCCATTAGGAGCCCCTTGTGGCTAGGCACCAGTGGTTGAGAAACACTGTTATACAGGAACCCAGTCATTCACCACAACCATTCCACCCTCACCCCCACCCATTTCCCAGGTGGTATAAGCTGAAAAAAACACACAGACTTCAAGCTTTAGGGAGAATTTTGCTTTTTTCAGAAAATGTTAGTCATTCTGTAGAATTATTTCTCTTGCTACAGTATGACATATTCATACCTTAATCTTTGATTCTTGTTTCATTTTTCCACATGTATATAAACAATGCTATTATAATAATAATTATTATTATTATTATTTTGTAAACAGTGGTATTATCATTTATTGTTGTTATTTATTGCTGTTTTTATATCATCTTTAGCAGCAGTAGGAAGCACACAAGTAAGAATTTCATATACATTAAAAAAAAAAACTTAAAACGAAGCTTAGTTCGAAATGACATAAATTTTTAATTGAATTTCACCTTTAAAACAGGATTTCTAATAGGTTTAAGTTTAGTTCATGGGGCCCAAAGCCTCTACTGTACTGAGAGACGTGAACCAAGCAGCAAAGCGTTTCACAAACACAGACACACACAGTTATGTTTTAACAATTCTCTCAGCTTGCTTTTATATGTTTTTAAAGTTTCCCTGTTTCGTCACCCAGGTATAGCCAGGCAGATGCCCTGAAGTACGTGGGGATTGAGCGGGAGATCGACGTCATGTAGCGGAGAGAGCTGCCATGTTGCCCGTCCACGATGCGCCTGGCACGCATCTCGGCTGCCTTGCGGGGCTGTGGTGCCAGGCGCTGTTACCTGTAGTCCATCCTGTGTGTTGCTTTAGCTCCAGGTCATCTACAATAGCTGGTCTACATGAGTTTACAGCAGCAGCTGAGATGTTAACAATATTAGCGGCTCTATAGTAATATAGCCATGCTGAATCGTTTACTTTCTTTGGCCAGCAGAGCAGTTTTTGGTCAGTGGGTAGATCTGAGAAGCTTTGTGTCAGGTGAGATAAGCCAGATTCATCTGTAATCTGAACTAATTACAGTAGAAATATCGACATTAATGCCAAGCTATCAGTGAGTGTCATTTGAATGTACCTGCTACTCCTCACAAACACAGCGGCACCTAGTAACATATAACAAATGTATCAGTGAAATAATTTGTTTCCTTTTGTGCAACATCCAGACAGTAGGGTTGCATTGTTGATGTGGCTTCTGGCTGAGTCTAGTGAGCAGGATGAAAGGGCCCATTGCAGCCTCTCTTTACTGCGGTGTCGCCTGCTGTCTGACACACGTGAAAACCGCCATTGTCCTGTAAGACGCAACAGTGTGAAACCGACCAAGTGAATGTGAGTTCAGTACAAACGACGGATATGCTAGGCTAATGTGTCAGTCGGCGATATGCATTAAATCACTGGCATGGAGACATCGTGTGTTAAGAGCTTCTTTTTTAAAATCCCACATAAGGCCAGTAGCTGCATGGGGCATTCTTAGTACCTTCATCTTCTAGAAGATGAGCTCCAAACCATCGTATTTGTTGTGCATATAGTATAAATACATCCCCACAGGTACGAGGTCAGTATTGAGAATAAAACAGGTACAATAATGCAGTCAATCAGGTCAGAAATGCTTTTTCAACGACAGCAGTGGGTTGTGTACGATTTTAGAGCAGAGGAGCTGGGAAAGCTTATAGATCCTTATGTCCTATTTTTCGAGAGCATCACAGTCAAATCCTCTCTTAAATGGGCGATCACATCAAGTGAAAATGAGTAAGGGGTCCCTTTGGCTGGACATGAGACTATGACTGCTGAAGGGAATGTACCTGTAGCGTACATTCGGAGAATGGAGAATGAGCTGTGATCCCACAGTGGGGCCCGTGCTGGATGCCCCTCAGCTGCAGGCCCCTGGCTCTCCAGTATGCTCAGTGTCACAGATACAGTACCTAGTGTGTTCATGTCTAAACCTGGAACTTTAAGAAACTTTCAAGCAAAAAAAAAAACTCTTTTGTTGCCACTTAATAGCCTTCTTGAGTGTGTTTTCAAACTATTCTAGTTCTTGATTGTTTATTTTTTTAAATATAGGATCTGCAAAGATTTTTTTTATTTAATGTAATTTCATTTTAACCAGAGTGTATTTTATTTTAAATTTTAACCAGAAATAATGAATAACTCTACTTCGAAACGTTTCCATTATTTGAAGGCATGCAATCTGAAAATTTCAGTCAAACTGTTGATTGCAGTTGAATAGTTTTATTTATCGGAGATGAAATGCTGCATTTTATAGTAGTTTCTTTGGTTATTTGTGTGTGTTGTGTTTAATCACCAAGACGTTATGGAAAATATTCTGAGTAGTGCTGTGTGTAGACACACTGTACCAAAAACCAGTGTACCAGAAGACAAATTGGATCACACCATTTCTTCTAAATTAGCCCTTCACGTCATGTGGTGATTAACTAGTCCTGTTTCGCCTTGAAAGGTTTATAACAATTTGGTACAATGAGCATTATGGGTGATGGGTGACATGCAAGCATGTCAATAAATTTGTGCTTGAATCCATTTTTCAGGACGGCCAGTCTCTATAGGCTTGATGAAACTATTGTAAAAAAGGGCTGAAGTTGTGAGATATAACCTTTGTCTTCTATTAAGAGAAGTAGGAAGGTCTGAGTTAGATGCACTATGTAATCCAAAGCAGGAAAGCGTGTTTACAGTATATTTGTAACCCAGCTCCAGAGTAAATCATTCTATTTGTTAATTTTAGCATAGTTTTATTTTTCATGACTTTTTTCCTTCCAAATCCATGCCATGTGAAGACCAATGCTTCTCCAGCCTCAGCTGCTCTTTGTGACGGCAGCTTCTGTTGTACCGTGTCTCTTGCGTGCTGCTCGCTGGAGTGCCCCCCCCTCCCCCCATGGCTTGCACAGCTTGCTTACACGTGTGCCCTCTTGGCTCCTATTGGAATAATGACAGGCACCCAAATCTGTGCTTTACTATCACTTATTTGGTAATTCTTGTATCCATTAAAATGACAGCGTTTAATCGTGTGTGTGTATGTGTGTGTTTTATCTAGAAAGGAGAAATGCAGAGAAATATTCTGGTTTCCTTGGGTTTGCGTAATGTTTGTCCTAAAATGACTAGAGAATGTGAGAGATGTGATCTGATCTTTCTGATCAACAGCTTCTGTTGGGTGGAGTTTCATGTGGTATTTGCACTTTTTTGCATGTGTGTGTTTCATTTTAGTAGACTGATAAGATAAAGAATGTTTTGTTTCATTGCAAAACAGGTACATGAAGGGAACAAAATGAGGTACTCAGGTTCGGTATGGGTAGCAATAATAAAATAGGAATCAAATGCAAAACAGTAATTCAAAGAATAAAATAGGGCAAAAATAAAGACTAAAAATAAAATGTGGTATTGTTCTCTAGTCAGGACTGTTACATTAAAAATGTAGTAAAGTTTACCTTTTACAAAGTTCTGGAAGGGACTGGGGACTAGAGTCTTCATCCTGATTGGTGGTTTAGTTAAGAAGCGGCGATGGTGCCGGGGTAGGGGGAGAGCCCATCACTCTGCAAGTATTTGAGTGTTGTGACGCTTAATTGGTTAATTTAATTATTTGTGATCATTTACGCCAAGAATTATGGAGCAGTACATTTAGGCATCTATTTTTATCATTTAAAGGCATAATGAAGTTTCAGGCTTTGGGGATAAGAGAATGTGCCCTGTGATGGGTTGGTGCCCCATCCTAGGTTGTTCCCTGCCTGGTACCCATAGGCGCCAGATCCCTTGTGATCCTGAATAGGACATGGAGTTCCAGAAAATGGATGGATTCACAAGTACACAGTACAATCCAGTTTTCAACCATTTTCTGTCTGTGGTCAGGTTGTCTTATATCATGCTTAAATACAGTTTTTATCACAAACATACAATACTCAGATCTCCTTTAATTTTCTTTATTGAAGTGTATTTTTATATTCAGTTCTACAAGCCATTTTCCATTTACTTATGGTAACTTACAATGGATGCATAACGGAACTAAGACAAAAACAAAGACAAAACGTACTAAATCTGAGTGCAGTAATAGAACACAGAAGGGTGGCCCTACCGCACCTGTCAGTTAGAACATTAAAAAATGTCATAATTCTCTATGTTTTCCACAGTGTTGTGACAACAGTTTGATAACAATATTCACATTTTTTTCTCTGAATTTTACATTTTAGGATAAGTTTTAAAAAATGTTTTTTTACAAGTGAGGCTCTGTTAAATGCATGTTGTGTTTCCTATAATGCTCTCTATTCATTGGCCTTACAGAGTCATAAAAAAATAAATAACAAAAATAGTTCTCTTAAGTAAACCATCTTACCAGGAGAAGGACAACTTGGGCCACCCACTATAGCTATAGGAAAAGTGGATATTAGAGAACTTAGCTCAGAAAGACTCACTATATACTACCAGGCCACTGATGTCAATGCACATTCCAGAGACAACACAACGGACCTCCACCACTCGCACACGCGTGGATCACACACAGACAGCTTCAACAGGCAACAGCAGCGGGCTGGCGGCTCCAAAGCACAGACATGGCAGGAAGCAAGCTCTCTAGCACAGACAAACGCATGCTTTCAAACAGGAAATGGGAAGTAGGTGCCCACCAATATCTGGCGAACATACATGGGGAGAGTCTGCTATGGTGGTTTTCTATAAACATGAGAATAACAGACTTTGCTGTAAGCAGTCGTTGTCATGGCAATGGCAGTGAAAAGTACATTAGATTTCTCTTTATGCTCTTTTATAGAAACGAGAACCATAAAAACATTAAATACATATTTTCTAGATCCATATGTGCACAATACCTTTATGACTCGCCCATTACAATAAAGCTGACGTTTATGCTGGAAGCAGCTGACTGATTGGGAACTGCTTTTTTTTTGGCATGCTGTGCTATGCATAGCTATACTTTACACTGCGCTGACATCACAGTTGCTATCTTATGGCAAGCAGCTAGCAGCAATATGGCAGATCTATGCTATGAGTCTAGTAAGCCAAATGTACAGATTGTGCAGATGTTAAATCACTGCGGTCCTTCACGTGTATGTGTGAGTATATATGTACTGTATATATATATATTTTAAAAACTGATGTGTGTGCACAACTGTGTTTGAGTGGTTGTCTAAACATCAAAAAGACTCCATCGCTGTAGTGGATTGGGTTGTCCTGATTGTAGAAAGTTCAGACTTTCCAAACCGACTCCTCAAATGCTGTGCTGCGGAACAGCTGTGGCTTGGAAAGAGCACCGACTTATCAGCTGTGTCTGTAAACAGCTAGCAAATTCAACAGGTACACTCCAGTAAATAACTCCAATCCAATGCATCAAACACATTCCCCTGCTGCCACTTTTAACCACTTTCAAAATGGCGATTTAGTCTTTGCAATGCTGCCTAATCCAATTTGAAATACATCCTTTTAGCTAGTTAAAAAAAGAACTAGCTATAAAACACATCTTTGTCCTGTTCCACACATATTTCTGTCAGTATAGCTTCCTGATGTTCATAATGCAGTTGTTTTTCACTTCTGTAAATCCATAGAGTGTAAACATTAAACCAAGGACCTTGTCTGTTCAGGTTATTATCCTGGCATCACGCCTCCCTGCAGCTTCTCCTGCCGAGGCCTGTGGGAGCATCAGGCCCAGCCGCTCAGACCAGACCTCTCCTTCCATGGCCTCAGGCCCAAGCTCTAGCCTTGCATCTAGTTTAGATTTGTTTGTCAACTGATTACTGCCTTTTCACACATGCAAACAAAAACATTATAAATGAAGTCCTGAAGAGTGGACGCTTTTGGTTTAAAAAAGAGCACCTGAAAAGTATACAATTAATGAATGTGTATTAAATAAATATAGTATGTGATCTATATAGTCCATTTCATTACATAAATCCTTCAGAATACACTCCTAACCACAACTTCAGTTTATCTAGACGGCATGCTGTCAGTCTCATTTGTTACATTTTCCCCTTTTTTCCCCTTGTTTCATTATTTTAAAGATCAACAAAACATTACAACTGGTATGTTTCCTCCTTATTTCAAAATGAGAACAAAACCCATGGAAGGATTCAAATATTTCCAGGCACTTTGCTTGATCTGTCATGTGATGATTTGTGAGGCTGGGTTTTGATTTGCCTAGATGAGCTGTAATCTGCAGATACAATATGTATGTCATATCCTGTAGTACCACTGAGTCTGATGTAATTAAAAAAGAAGGACAAAAGAAGATATACATAAACATGATATGTGAATAGAAAGAGTAAATACACAAGTATGCGGGTGGGTGTGAAATGGCTACTCGCTTAATCTCCATCCGGCTGTGCCATTTCATTCGCTCGCCAGCTCTTCCTGAATCTTGGGCAGGCTCCTCTCTTTCGATTTCCTGCGTGGCGGCTCCGTTTCCGTGAGCGGCTTAGCACTGCTGGGTGACTCAATTATTTTTGGCTCGTTAGTGCTGTAGCTGCCCTTGTATCGGTACAGATAACCGTACACGGCGTAAAGAGCGCCGAATATCACCAGCAGTGCTATGAAGACAAAGACTGGGAAAAATGAACAAGCTATTTTAGGGACAGACAAGGATAGACAGCAACAGTTTAAATTAAACCGTAAATAACAGCATTATGAGCAATTTACTGTATATTAGCAACTTTAAATTGGTGACATGTACGAGAAATAAAATCTCCAAAGACAGTATAACCAGTACAATAATCATACATGCTCATAAATCCCAAAAGTAACATTGTAGATTATTTGTATGTATATAGGCCTAGCAATTGGCGTGAGGCAGGAACCAACCCTGGAAGGGGTTTTAGCCCTTTGCTGGGTGCACACACACTTACACTCATACAGGGATGTAGGAACCAGGGGGAACATGTCCCCCCCAATATTTAATTTGACTTCATTCATCCCCCCAATAAACAATCCATTATATTTGAATCATTATCTTGTGCCCCTCCCCAATCTCAAACTCTTTTCCACGCCATTACACTCATGCATAGGCAAATAGGCAAATGGTAAATTCTGGCACTCCAATTCACTTGAGTTGCATGTTTTTGGACTGTGGAAGGAAATTGGTGAATCCAGTGTAAACCCACACACACATGGGGAGAAAAAGAAAAAAAGAAAACTCCACACATACAAACCGGGGTTGCGCTGTTACATGCAATTGTCCCATCAGAAGAACCGTGATAGCTGGTTTAAGACAATAAGTTATACTAACACATTTTAACCCTGTCATAGGAAACACAACTTAGCAAGCTCTGCAATTTAAATGACTTTTCAATCCTTTTCAGGATTCAATCAGTCTAAAGTTTACCACAGTTATTTTGCATATTTTTGCAAGTTCTGTGCTGTGTTTTTTTGGGTTTCACCGATCAGGAGTAGCGCTTTTGACATTTCATTGTATGTTGTGCAGTGAGACAATATCATTTTTGCATGTTTACGCCTTGATGGAAGTGTCTTCTAGGTTGATGTTTAAAAGTTAAAATACCAAGGTAATATTAAATAGGATTTAGTTAAAATACAGTAATGCATTTTCTTTGTAATTGTGCATGAAAATCATTAGTTTTCACCGACAATAGATATTTATATATGATTAAGCATTATAATATAACATCCATGGAAGTCAAAATCCATTTTAAGGAAATATAGTAATAATTATTATAAACTAATAATAATAATAATAATAATAATCCATCTATTCTTCAACCACATATTACATGAATAAATCATTATTTAAACATTTCAAAAGTATTACACCATGTATTACACCATGGTCTGCTGCCATAGACCAGAGCAAAACTTTTTTTGTAACAAGAAACACAAGGAATAGCATGTCTTTTGAAAAATGTTAAACATTTTTATAACATAACGTAGCTTTGGATTTACCCTTCTGGATAAATTATAACCAGTGTGAATGAAATTCAGTTTATTTCTATATAGCACCATTCAAAAGATTCGCTCCAAGGCGCTTTACGTGGGTGTGATGTGACATATGTTGTGAAATAACAAAAGCGTACCTCTTTGAATGAAGACAATTTCGTTTCATGATAAATTTAAAGGCAGTTTATTTATTTATTTTAAAGAAAGCCTGTATAGCATGATTCTGAAACTCCAGTGTGGTTTGATGACTAATGTATATTATATACCACTAATCAATGAAAGTAGCTTTTTCGTTAGACAAACTGTTAGTGGATCAATTAAGTTCTGTAAATTTAGTTCCGCTAACTGTGAACATTTTTGGCCGATAAAGTGAATAAACTTTAACTGTCAATAACGTTTTTAAACCTAAAATCATTCATAATTGTTCCTGTCTGTTGTGAAAGTGTCTGCACAGTCTATTTGGCAGGAGGTGCCAACTCTCACGCATCTGGCGTGATACTGTATTCACACTTTCAAACTCTCACGCTCACACAAGAAATCTTACTGAATATTTGTATTATTCCATTATAAAATTAAAATTAGCGACATCAAAAGCGTTAGTTTGCAAACCATAAAAACTATTTAGAATGCAATACAACTGTTATATACACGTAAATACGTGTGCAGACGTGTCGGGAATTGAAAATCTCACTCCAGTCAACTGACAAAAGTTGGTAATTCTGGGCACGCTGTTGGCTGACTACGTGTAAACACAAGACGTGATTGGTTGATAACTTGTCATATTTAAGGCAGTCTGAGGTAAATGTAAGTGAACGAACTAAAATCTATTTAAAATGGGGTGTCCTAAACTAAGCAGAGAACAGAAGCCTATATTGTAAAGCTGAATTTCTTGCTTAGATCGATCGAACTTAAAGTACCTTAATTTAAATTACATTTATCTTTGTTCACGTACATTTAACCCAGACTGCCTTAAATCTGACAAGTTATCTGGCTAAGCAAATCCTGCTTTGCCATGCAAACCCCAAGTTCTGATTGACAGAGATATAGACCAATAATGAGCTGAGACCCTCCTTACTATTTCTGGGTAAATGGCACCATGTTTGTTGTCCCCAAGTGGCTTCACTGAGGGCAAAATGTCAGCATGGGCCAGTTGCAGAAGTTTTCCTCAGCAAAAACGTTTATATCTCGGAAGCGGAATATCTCAGAAAAACACGCGGGTTTCTTCCTAAGACTCTACAGAATCCAATGATTCTCAATTGGTAAGTCCTAAATGCCCCCTGGTAATCATTCCAGTCCGATAGATGGAATTTAGATATTAAACACGTTACAGTTTTAGCTCTCTAGGTATGTTTTTAAGGTTTTCAGAGCAAAAAGCCAAACCAAAACTAAATTCATATAATAAAAGTCAGCAGTTCGCAGTTATTGTTAGCTTCTGCTAATTTTTTAGTGGTTTATCAGTTCAGTGTTATCGAATTAAATTTTGGATTTAGCGGGTTAGCGGTTATTGAAGCTAACTTTTCAGTTAGCTGTGCCCACCACTATGTATGTACATAGACACACACACACACACACACACACACATATATAAATGTCATTAAAATAATGGTCGTCATCAATTTGTGTGCAGAGGAAATAACAATCCCAACCTCTTCTGGGCACTCAAAAACATTCTGTCATATGTCATAACTTACGAGCTATCATTTGCGGACTTGATAAGTCATCATGGATGTAGTAGAACACTGCAATGACAAACAAATGGACATCAGATAAAGGCACAAGTCATTCCTTAATTACCATCAGAACTGCATTAGCACTGTACAAAAGGCATCTGTTTAGTCTACCTGTAAGAAATCTCTCATATGCAGCACTGTTATTTTTATTTCTGGTCAGATTTCAGATCTTAAAAATATCATAAGGCAGTGGTGAGTAATGATAACTGGACGTGTAATGGCATTTTGGGAAATGAGGTCTCACCTAATCCAGTGTACCATGGGTCAGCTGACAAAGGCACCAGACCCAGCACTGGGGGGAAGACCCCACAGTTGGACTCCGCAACAAAACCCTGCACTGTAACAGGCGGGTGCGTTTCATTGGGGCGGAAGTAGGTCCTGAGTGGGGCATAGATGTTGTACCGCACTCCTGATATGCAGCCAATCAGGCCTGGGGAGTTGTGCCTCTGAATCTCATAGTCAATGTCCCCCACCTCTGTGTAAGGAAAAAAATATTACTGGTGAAAACTGTGGAGAGGCTACAAAAGCACTATGCAACATACTCCCCCATATTCTTCCACAGAGCTATACAAGAAGGAATGTGTACTCTGTCTCAGAGTCTCTGGGTTTATTGAGAATAATGCAGTGATAGGAATAAACTCTGTAATGCACTACTGCTGGATGCTATTATTATCAAGCCATGTCCATTTGAACAGTATTGACAGGTACTCATGATTTGTAGCTAGACAAGCCTTAAAATTTTAATGAAAGATTATCTTTAGGCAATATGTGCCTTTTACTTTTCAAAAATTGAAATTTTGGACATTCTCTGTCATCGCAACAATAATCACCTTGTTAGACACTGACAGGTGCCCACAGTGAGATGGCTACACGAGGTACAGCAGATAGCATGCAGGTTAAGCAAGGGTCAAGCAAAAGAGGCAATTTTCTCTTTAGATTTTCATTTATATGAATAACAAATTTACTGACTGTATGCATTAACTGTATACGTATAATGTATGTTAGGTACAGTGGGAAGTCTAGAAGCCAGCTTACCCATGACTCGGCCTAGAAACATTGACTTGGGGGAGTCAAACCTAATGTCTATCTCTGCCAAATGTTCTTTGATGGTCTCTGCGTAGTCCACCTGTAAAAAAAACAAAAACAATCAGGATATGCTATCATAGATCTGAACTATTTCAGGCCATATTATAAACATTAGACCTAGTTTTGAAACTCAGGATTTGTCCAGGTTCTTTAATGTCAACTGGAAAGTTTGCTCTGCTCAGATGGTGCAAGTGTTATGAAGCGCACAGGGCACCTGTATTCGTACGGTTCTGTTGTGCCTGGTGATGTTGATGTAGTGGGGGTATCCGTCAGCCAGGTTCCTGGAGGACACTTGAAATTTATGAGTGATCAGGCCCAGACGATACCTCAGCGCTACGGTACCTAAAAGAACAGGAAAATTAAGATTAAGCAAAATAAAAATATAGACCCTCCCTGGGTTACGATGGTCTGTGTTATGATATTTTGACTGGGTTAAGTTGTGTATTCCAATTGGTATTTCAATTCAATTCTGTTTTTCCACTTTCAGTACATTATTTAATAAATCACACAAGATATTCAACACTTTATTGTAAAATAGGTTTTGTGTTAATTATTTTGCCTAACCGTAGGCTAATGTTTGTTAGGTTAGGTCCATCAATTTTCAAACCGTTTATCTTAGTCAGGGTCATGGGGATATTCAGATTATGGGAAAGCAAAATACAAACATAAAACTCTCTTAAATTTCACTTTGCTACCAAGATAACAAAAGATATCTTTTTATAAAAAAGATGAAGTAGCATACTAAATGAAGGTAGACACACATGTTTTTGCCCCTCCTCTGTGCTGACGAACCCATCTCTGACCGTACCGTCGAATTTGAGGAGGACTGCAATGTAGTCCCTCACAAACGAGCTGATATAGAGCAGCACAGCAGGGGTATGGATGGTGCTGAAGCTGAACTCAATGTTGTCATTGGTCTGGTTGTAGCCCAAGCTGAAATTATGGGGATCCAGCCAGTAAGCCCATTGGCTCTCATCAGAAATCGCCTCATTCCGGATGTTGTAGCGCATCCATGCCCCTGCCTCAAAATAAGCCCCAATGTCTTGGGAAAATAAGAAATAGCAAGATTATTACCTCAAGAATGATGGGATTTAAAAAATGTTTAACCATGAGTCTCTACACAAAACACTACAATATATCCTTTTAGAGATTCACATATTACAGGCGGCCAATCAGCAGTACTGCCTAAACCATTAAGGTTATACTGATCTGCGACAATTTATTTTTATGTTGTCTGTATTGATTACATTTTTGGCTCTTATAAACATAGGAAAACTTTCAGGACATTATTTCAGCACAATATCATAAGGAAACAACATTTTGAGAGAAAGAGATGTAAATGATGTTAATGAGATTATAAATTTATTCTCTTTCAGATGCATGCAACCATTGACTGGACTATAAGGTCTTTCATCCTTTGCATGCAGATTTTGATTGGAGCATAAGGTCTGTTGTCCTTTGCATGCAGTCTTTAATTGGGGTGTGAGTCCTTTGGTCCCTTGCATGGTACCTTTGTGGCAATAATAGCCCTCGAAGGCAGTGTTGTTGCAGTCGCAGAAATAAGAGGCATAGGCTTCCATGCATCGTCCACCATTCCGACAAGGTATGGTGGCATTCAAGCACTGGCCTGTGCAGTTCAGCCGGACCCCATCTGTTTCATTAATTTTTCCTGCCAGGTCGACAGGCACACCATTCATCCGCAATCCTCGCAGACAGCCCAGAAATGCCCTCAGCCTCGATTTGGCCGCACCTAATAGAAGAGGACAGAAAGTGTGAGGCTTTTGAAAGCATGCAACAACTGATTCTTTCGCAGCCACTTAATGCCAATTTAAATGTCAGGCATAAGCTATATATATTGACACACACACACACATTCAAACAGCTCTCCCACGTACCAGACACGGTAAAATTGCTTATTTCAAGTACAGGTTTAAACCTATATTCCAGATGCCAGTTCAATCAATGTGATTTTTGAGATAACTGAAAATGGAACTGGGGATTTAAGGGTGAAAGACTAGAGGAGAATCTCGACCTTGCTGGTCTCTGACTTTTGACAACCAGAGAATCTGAGAGAAATACCGGGGTCAAGTTTGCGTGAAAACCCTGTATAACTACTGAAATACTAAACGTTTTCCGATCTGAAAAAGACACCTTTATTAGAAATCACATTTTGACTTAAAAGACATGATGTTTTACAATAATTATGGAACAATAGGTAAACAGTTACTAAAGCTGACCTCATGAGCTGAGCTATCTGAAAAGGATTGCCTCATTTTGCATCAGCATTGGAGATGCCATAATTTTAATATGTAGGACAAAACTTCAATTTCATTTTGAAGACAAAATTTATTGTTGAAAGCAAAAGTAAAAATATTTCCAGTAAATTCATGTGATCTTCCTACTGACTTGATGGTACTGACTTTGGAAGTTGGGTTTATTAAATATTAGCTATCACATGTAGAAAGAGAGAAGGATTAATCTGACTAATTTAATCAACAGCTGCAAAACGTGAGACAACGCACCCACAAGGAGGGGCTGGGTGAACTTCATCCTAACGGTAGTCTGCCCAGGAAAGTGCCGCACTGCCCAAGGCATATAGTCCACTTTGAGCCTGGCCCCCTTCACGTTGATCTCCGCCTGGACAAAGTGCCACTCGTCATCGTTGAGCGGCAGCGGTGAGCGATGGGTCACGTTGATGATGCCATCACCCACCATGAAGACGAAGAGCACGTTCGTGGTGGCTGGGAGTTGGGAGACCAGCAGAACACTGAGGTTATTTTCCAACTTGGATGAGCAAATTCTGCCCAGAGCTGCCATAGGCAGGCTGATCATTTCACAGATCCTCATATTTCAATAATCTCGTCTCAGACAGGCTGAGCCCTCCTTCATCTATGCACAGCTTACTGTTGAGTTCCACTCGGATGAAGTTACGGTGGCGGTCGTCCGAGTTCTCCAGGAAGACGCCGTATTTAGCAGTGGTTTTGAAATGGAAGGAGATGTCAGCACTCGTACCCGGTTTGAAAGTGGGAAACTTCAAGTAAGTTGGCTTGGTGAAGGACACAGTGTTCCAGGTGTTTCCTGTGATCAGATATGACATGACACTCATGTGACCCACACTCAGGAAGTTAGGCTTCTAGGTACAGTGACAGCATTTCACTGGATCCTGGGCTTCCCTCATTAGATCTTTATTTGCTATCCTTTACCATATTCTGTGATTTGTTAGTAGCTAAGAAGAAAATCCTTTGAAATAACTATGCATGAAAACATGTCTACTCACGATCACCATGGCAGCGCAGATTTCCCACGTAAAACTGGGCCTCTGAACCCGTTCGGTTTGTGTCCCCTACCACAACTCTGAGGACCGGCAGATGGTCTCTGAAGTTCAGCCAGCCTTTGTCTGAATACCTGTTTCCATGAACAGATGCACATTTACATCAGTGTTTTAAAATGCATGTAAATTTTCACTTAATGACACACTATACATCTATTGTCCCTGCTGGAAGGTATGAGGTAGAAAGCATGGCAATATCCTGGGTGTGACAGTTCAGTGCACACACTTTCATATAATAAAAAATTTCAGGAACCAGATTACCCCCAACAAGCCTGTGTCTGAATTGCATAATATTTTCTATATCCATCAATATACATTATATGGACAAACGGATTGGGACACCTGGCCATTAAACCTACAGGAATTTTATAACATCCAACTCTAAATCCACAGGCATCAATAAGAGCTGCCACAACTACTAAGAAGGATTTCAACAAGTTTTTGGAGTGTGTCCTTGGGAATTATTGTCCATTCATCCTGAAGAGCATTTGTGAGGTCAGGCACTGATGATGGACATAAAGGCCTGGCTTGTTTTCTCTGTTATAGGTCATTTCAAAGGTATTTGATGGGGTTGAGGTCAGGGTTCTGTGTGGGCCAGTCAAGTTCTTCCACACCAAACTCACCCAACCATGTCTTTATGGACCTTGCTTTGTGCACTGGGGCACAGTCATGCTGGAACAGAAAAGGGCCTTCTCCAAATTGTTCCCACAAAGTTGGAAGCATAAAATTATCCAAAATGTCTTGCTATTCTTACATTACATTGAGCTCCCTTCACTGGAACTAAGGGTCCTAGCCCAACCCCTGAAAAACAACCACATAACATTATCCCTCTTCTACCAAATTTGACAGTTGGGAGAATGCAGTCAGGCAGGTAACATTCTCCTGGCATCCACCAAATGCAGACTTGTACACAGGGTTGCCAACTCTCACACATCTGGCGTGACACTCATACTTTTTGACTCTCACGCTCATGCAAGAAATCTTACAGCAAATCTATACTCTTCCATTATAAACCTAAAACTAGCTACATCAATAGCGTTGGGGTAGTTTGCAGACTCAACAGACTATTTACAAAGTAATAAAACTCTTACATACGTGTGAATGCATGTACTGACTTGTCTCAAATTGAAAATCTTATGCCAGCCAGCTGACCGAAGTTGACAACCCTGTACATACATCAGACTACCAGAGAGAGAAGTGTGATTCGTCACTCCAAGGAACGTTTCCACTGCTCCAGAGTTCAGTGTCGGCGTGATTTACACCACTCCATCTGACGCTTGCTGCTCAGCCAGGGAAGCCCATCCCATAAAGTTGCCAGTGCACAGATTTTGTGCTGGGCTGATTGCCAGAGAAGATTGGAACTCTGCAGTTATTGACTCAGAGCGTTGGCGACTTTAAGGTGCTACACACCTCAGCACTCAGCAACCCCTCTCAGTTACATTATGTGGATTGCCACTTTGTGGCTGAGGTTCTGTTGTTCCTAAACACTTCCACTTTGCAGTTTACAGTTGTGGGGAAATCTGGTCCCCACAATGTAATAATTACAAACACTCGCAGGCCAGAATCCAATTCACGTTGCTACCCATGGTGCCACAATGCCATTAATAGCTGATTATATTTTAATAGTTCATTTTACAACACCTGTGACACATTTTAGTCATTTCCATTGGGAAAAATGGATTGGTTTACAAAAAAGTGTGGTTATCAAATAAATTTAAAAATTTAGGAAAATTACAGATAATTAACTCTGTCAATAGTGAATTAAACAAAATAGTTGTTCTCTTTAAAAATGGAAAAATTGTTTTTGTATGGCCAGTAACTGTTGTCAAAGTGCTAGCTATCTATAGTTTAATTCATTCCATTCTTCAGATCTTAAAAATACACAAGTGTGGCTATTTTTAAACCCTGACACACCCCCTTCTCACCATTGTCGATAGTCTGCGTCACAGTTGCAGTAGAACCTGGGGTCTGCGCATGTCTGGTTGATGGAACAGCCACATTTGTGGCTGTCAAGGAAGGATCCACCCCAATAAGCATGGCTCTCATTATTCCGGCCAATCCAGTAACTGAACGGCTGCCCATCTGTGGAGATGAGACGGGATTGGGTCAAATTTGTGCTGTGGTTAGTATCAATAAATTATACACCCTGGACAGGATGCCTGGCCATCTCAGGGCATATTCATATGAACACTTATACACTTGACTATTCTGAAACACCAATTAGCCTAACTGCATGTTTTTGTACTCCAGCAGAATCCCAGGATACATGGAGGAAATCCACATTTCATGGGAAGAATATGTACATAGTCACAGCAGGGGTGGACTTCAAACCCCAAAAACAGGACTACGCACTGAGTCAACCTCACCAGAGTATTCTTTGAAAACAGTAAATGCTTATTCTGGCCTACTCTACTTAAAAGCACAGATTAAAAACTTAAAAAAATTAAAACTCCGTTCTACAATGCTTTCCAAAGGCTATGAGAATTCAGTAGCATCTAAGGAGCTTACTACCTATTCATTCTAGAAATGCAACATGCTATTAAACAAGAAACTTCCCATAAGTTAAAACCAATGTTCTCTGACAGTAAATACAGTTGACTCACAAGGCGTATTGAGTAGCCGAGACTTGTAGCAGGAGAAATCAATCCACTGCTCGCAGTGTGTGGATGTGTTGGCGAGGGCCGAGACTTCAGCCCAGGATGCGTTCATGTACTCCAAATCACCGACGTACGGCTGATTTATCGTGGTTCCGGTCACCTTGGTCTTGTCTATCCGATTATGCCTGACCACTGTCCAACCTTTGTAGGCTGGTGGTGGGCAGAAAAGCCAGGTCATCCCAGTGCTTATGGCTCCCAAAAGCTCTGAAAGCATGACTATATGACTGTGACTGCAGTGATTTTTCATCAATGTCCTCTCTGAATTATATCATTATCTCAACTTAATATTTGATTTTAAATAGCACATCAGTGACATATTTTAAACTACATTTTTTCCCTGTTTCAAAAGTAACAGAACTGGTTTGCCTTTACATGTTAGGTCAGCCACAAAGTTTGATGTTTTTAAAGTTTTAAAAACACACTTCTTTTCTTTTGGCAAATGACTTGTGAAATGTGCTCTACAAATAAAGTAGAAATAATCAGCTTAGTTGAAATAATCAGCTTTGTTTTTGTATTGTTTGCCAATTGCTGACATTATGTTTATAAATGGCACAGTTTGCAACACATTAGACAAAGTGTATTTAACAATAAATGATCTGTACAGTAATTCGCACATCTTATAATGCATATACATGGTACCTTAGGTGCGACATATTCACAATTAAATATATAATTATCTCAGCTTCCTACCTCCCATGTTGCAGTAGACCGAAAACGGTTTCAATGGGCCGCTAAGGTCAGGATCGATGGTATAGTTGCCCGAATAGAACTTTCCATTGAGCCGATAGGCCTCACAAGACTCCTTGTACACAGCTGTCATGACATCACAATTAAAAAAGCCTTTTATAGCCCCTTACAGCAAGCAGCCATGACTCATATACTGCTCAAAGACAGAGATTTTAGCACTGAGATTAAATGCAACATATTAAAATGAGGATCGGAGCCACAGCAACTGAGACTTACACATGTGGCACACCTCTCCCTGGTAGCCAGTGTTCTCACAACGACATATGAAGTCATCCCAGGACTGGATACATCTGCCATCGTGTTCACATGGGTTCGGCGTGCACCTACGGGGGAACAGTAAAGTGAAGAAAACACACAAGAGGAAATGATATGGGAAAGAGTGGCAGGCAGGGATAATGGACCATGTTCTCCAGCAGAACAAACCATTATCTACCGGGCCTGAGGATCTAATATCTAAGATGGGAGTATCTGAGTGATGGTAATGGTGTTCCCTCTACAGGATTGTTGCTCTGAGCATCAGTTAGTATGTGTTAAAAGGTCTCGTTTGGAAACCTCATAACCCATTTCAGCTCCTGACAGTTTGCAGAGAGAAGCTTGCATTTAGAAAGTGCCGAACTGTGCAGAGAGCAAGCCGTTGCATGCTAATGGAGAGGAGCGCTGCTTCTCAGTCTGGCTTTTTCCACTGTCTGTATCATTCCTGTATTACTTGATTACAGAGAGGAACAGTCATAATAATCACCCATCATTCAATAGCACAAAACCTTGAAACCTATGATTCAGTGTCGAATCATCTGCTCTCAAGGTCAGACTCCAGTCATGATGAGGAGCTCTCGGTCCACGTCCCAGCCGGCCGGCCCGAACGGCGCCCGCCAGCGCTGCCCCCACCTGTCAGTGATGCCGCAGGTGCCCAGCAGCAGCTCAGTATAGCGCCCCCAGCGCCACAGCAGTACCATGTCGATGTCCACGGGCTCGTCGTCGATGAAGATCTGCTGCATGCAGCCATGAAACTTGTTTAGATTGGTCTCACACTTGTCGGTGTTGTTGGTCTGAGGACATCCTGGGACAATCCAAACGGCATTAATTAACAGGCAGTTGTGCCTTACAATGCACAAACAGCAAAGGAGATCCCTTGTGACACCTTAGAGAAGGTATATTATTCTCTATGATAAAACAGGTAGCTATGGCTACTAAGGGTAGCTTGACCGTGCCTAGTAGTTCGAGTTTGCGTGATGACTCACCTCCAAAGTAGTAATGGAATCCGGTGCGAACTGTAAAGACGTTGGTGATCTTCAATGGAGATCCCTCATCGTCATCGATGGTCACGGTCACAAAGTTGTCTCTGGCCACAATTTCCACGGTGTGCCAGAACCCATCATTCAGTCGATAGCCTGCAGGTAAGAATGTGCCGTGATCAGTTTCGGGCTGATTCATCCTTTTTTGTGAGCAAACCAGAGACTGGACCCTCTTTGCAGAACAGCTATGGTAGAATCTGTAATAATCATGCAAAATGAAATTGGAATATTTCCAACACACAAAACGATTCATGCAAACACTAAAAATGAGGAGGCTAAGGAATATTCTCATTCCTCAGCAGGATTATTACAGGATTATTACCCATAATTATACTTATTAACAAGGCCATCTAAAAATGCTCATAAAGACCCCGGTTTTGCTGTGTCTTACAGACTGGAAGGACATAATACGAGTTCAAGAGTAATTCAGGACTCTGTCCTTAAATTTGATTTTGCTAATAAGCTGTGGGAGAATGACGTCTGCAGCAGGTGCAAGTGGCACTTCTTTCTTTCATACAACTAAGTAAACTAATTACTAAGTAAACTAATAACTAATCTACCACACTCTGCTAGGGGATTATGATGGTTTGGCAAGCTTACTCATTGTGTTTATTGATGTTTACTATGAAGAAACCAATTATTCTTGAATTTAATGAGTGTTTTCTACACTGATATGAATGTTGCACTAAGAAAGAGAGCGACCTAAGTAGAAAAATGAAAATGAAACCAAATGCACTCAGTACTAGGTGGTACAGTGGGTTTCACTATTGGCATTACATTTACATATTTCACAGATTCATTTGGTCAAAGTGACATACAAGTGAGGACTGGACAGTTACCTTTGGGACCAACAGGGGTCATTCTGAATGGGTCATCCGGGCTACTAGTGCTTAGATGGACTGATGATCCTAAAGGTTCTGATTCTGCATGTGTGCTCTACTATGAACTGGGTGTCTTTTATTCTATCGCGATCTTCCCAGATGGATGAATACAAAATTGAAATAAAGAACTTGGTCTAACCCAAAATGGGGCTCACCTGCACCAAACTGCAGCTTCTTCTTGCCAGGCTGCATAAGGGAGACGTTGACCTGGCCCTCGCTCAGGCCCAGCTCCAGGGAGCCGAGGTCATCAGCAAAGCGGGTAAACATTAGCAGCCCGGTGTAGTCCCAAGAGCGAAACTTGAATCTGACAGCCATCCTTGGCCTCCTTGACACCCCCGGCAATTGCAGGAAGTTGTTTGGCCCAGCGAAGGTCATGGGCTTTAGCATCATGTCATAGCAAGAGTACCGCCTTGTTTTCTGGGACACAACAAGAGGAACATTTCATGTTAAACAACTGCTGCACCAAACTTGCCTCATAGATAATGAACAATGAATATTGCATTGCCTTAATACCTGCCTGCAATACCTACACAATTATTATATTTGTCACACCCCTATCGAGCCGATCCTCCTGTGCCACGCCCCCCTCGTTAACCTCATGTGGGTTCCCAGAGTTTATCAGCTGTTTTGAGTGGTCTTCGTTAGTTAGGTGTATTTAAGTCCGCGTCAGAGTTTATTTCCCTAGTCCTGTCTTTGTAGTGTTATGCCGTTTTCTGTCCTGTCTGCCTCTCCGAATGTCAATTAAAACCCTTACTCTCGATTCCTCGTCTTCGTGGCCTGCTTCCTTGGTCCGTGCTCGGCACGGTCATGACAGAATGACAGGACTAGGGAAATAAACTCTGAGACTTAAATACACCTAACTAACGAAGACAACTCAAAATAACTGATAAACACTGGGAATCCACATGAGGTTAACGAGGGGGGCGTGGCACAGGACGATCGGCACAATCGGGGTGTGACAATATTACTGGCATTCATAATAGAATATAAAATAAGTATGCAGACAATTCGACAAAACGCTTCTAAAACTGCGTATGTCATTTGATTACTTAAGGAACATATCTTATCACTATCCCAGATCAGCTTCAATGGCTGTATGGCCAGTAAGTTCTACTAAAACACTTGGCTCATTCATGTGCAAAAATGTACAAAAGCAACTTACGGTGATTCAGTTAAATTTTTATTAGCCCTAATGATACTCTCACATTCCTCACAAGGAATGCGCAGCTTTTAGATACTAGAAAATTAAAGTTGAAGACCAGCAAATGTATATGTCCCCAAGGACCAGGGTAAAGGGCAACTGACTCTAGAGATACTTCCTGCAGACATAAGCACTAAATTTTACATGAGTCAGGCAAGTACTGTATCCTGTAATAATATAGAGATACTGTATATCATAGTGATGCAGCGAGCTAGATTACTGCTGAGCGATCCTTGCCATACCTGTCCAGGATGGAAACGGATCTGAGAGTCTCCATACTCTGCCAGGTCGATGATGTTGATCCCGTTGTAAAAGACATTTTCCAGGCATCCACGGAAATTGGCTTTCTTGGGATGGTTAGGCATGTTTGACTGAATCACTCCTCCTACAAAAACCTGGGGGAAGGACGGCACCCACAGCAAAATGGCCACACTTTCGTTATGAAACAAAATGACACAAAATGTTGAACAATGTGAGATATTATTATGACTCACATCAGTCATAATAGTTGATAATATATGTTGAATAGGCCGATAATTATTTTAAAGACAAACCCAATATTAATATTTCTCTTACCCCATAACACAGGGGTTTCTAACTCCAGTCAGGTAAATACCAGGATCAGGTGTGGCTCATCAGAAGCCAGGTAGAATAGAAAACCTATTGGATAGTAGATCTCTGGTTGGAGACCCCTGCCATGACAAGACAGCATTACACTACCCTTAGGACTACACTACCACCAAGAAATTGCAAAAGAATTCCAGAATCATATAACTTTCAAATTCCTGGAACAGATTTGCAATGTAGGTTTTCTACTATTGGTTTTCTGACCCCTCTCTCTCTACCTGCAGTGTCTCACTCTACCCACAGCCACACATGTTTCCACCCACCTGAGTGTCCAGGTCCAGGTGAGTGAAGTCGCCATTACAGATGGTGCTCTCGGTATGGCTGTCCACTGTCAGGTTGACCTGCCGGCCGTAGCGCTTGATGGTGACATAGTGCCAGTGTTGGTCGTCCAGCAGGTTGCCCACTGTAAGGGTGGTGAGACCCTCTACTTCATGGACAGTGCTGCTCCCTGGGTGAAGGAATCATTACAGATAAATAAAAACTCAACAGGAATCATCTTCCAAGAGTCTGTGAACTGAAACAAACTTTCTTTGATCCATCACATTTCCCATGGTCCTTTGTCAGAAGCTGTGAAAACAGGGGGCCCTAAGACTGCACCCACCTAGACTAATGTGTAGGTAGAGGCGAGCATTCTTCAGCTCCAGAATGAGGATGTCCCCTTGCAGACCTTCACTGTGCAGCAGTATACCATCCCGCTCCAACGTCTTGAAGTTCAGGGCAATGTGGTCCTCCAGCGTACGGTATCTCTG